ATCAATTCAGGCATAACTGGACAGACCTGAAGGATCCGGTGGTGTGTGGGTGGGACTGGAGGTGGCTGTGATTTTGTTTGCGTGTTTCTGAGAGTGTAATGGCTCAGGGAGACATGCTGGGATGTCATTTGCGTGAGAGTATGCTGGTGTGTGTGACATGCTGAGGGAGGGAAAGGGGGCATTACCAGGATACCAAACAGCTGTCTGCGAAACTGAGGGGTGTGCAACACACATGCTCACTCACAGAAGGTAACACTACCATAAACATGGGAAACACATCCAAGGAAACCAGGGGCATCTGCCTCCTTCAAATCCTTAAACTCTCTCCGCACGCGCCACCGCAACGCTCCATATGGAGATCAATTTCCTCCCTTACAGTTGCTGATCTCTTTTTTATTGAGTTAAATTCAGCAGTTCCTGATGTTTTCCAGCTATAGAAATCTGATGATAGAAATCAATTCCTCATTTATCTCTCTGCCGAAAATCTGCACAAACAGGGACATGGTGTGATCGTGAGCTTTCTTTGAGCCAACACTTACAATTCACAAACATGGGCATGGGAAAATGGTAATACGCGACGGTGTGGTTTAAATCAATGGAGTGAAAGGAGGCCATTTAATGGTTAGCTGGAAATAAGCATGTTGAGATTATGTTTGTATCGTAGAAGGGTAGAAAAACAATAGCTCTGCCTTTAATGACTGGAGGTCTTTTTCTTTATCTTTTAATAGCACGTAAAGGGAGATTCCCTCTTTGCCTCAGGATTTAAATTCTCTTTAGTCTTTATGAGTTCTTCAACCAAAACAATATACTTACCATTCGATAGAAGCAAACCACTGATTGGTTGCGCAGCGTGTGAATGGACAGGGAAGAAATGATAATGGCTGGCAACTCAATTTTAAGACATCTAATTAAGTTAATGTGCTTCTCAAATAACACCTAAAACTTCAGAAACAAACTCCTTAAATAGACTCAGCATCAGCAGCTCGAAGCTCATTTGGAATCTCATTGTAATCTACTCACTGAGGTTGAAATAAGTGTTAGTATGATTTTGTGTGGCATTCAGTTCCAAAAGATATCGGGTATTTAGCAGCGCACCCACACCCACCTGTGCTCCCTGCAATTCCAAACAAAGCCTCTTAAAGCCTCATTAAGCACCAGTGGAGTTTGTTCTTCCTCTTCAAAAAGGAGAATGACTTCGGTCTTTACTGCCTCTATGCCACATACATCATCAAATACAATACACTTTGATATTATCTTATCATAAGTGAGGATTTTTAACAAACCGTTCAAGATATGGTTCTATTTTCCAGTATATCGGCATAAATCCGTGATAACAGAGCTAGTACTTGATTATTTTCTCGATGTCAAATTGACGCTGAGAAGTTTATTCTCATTTCCAAGACTATGTTGGAAATCATATCTGTGGCCGTATGAAATTTCTTTAGTGTGTGAGAGGGTTTAAGTTATCGACTTGTATAAAAAAACCCGCCAAAAAAATGTAAAAGATTTCTTCAGGTAATAAAATGTGGGTCATAAACCTTTCAAAGCTGGACTCTGAAGCACTGACAAAGGTCTCTTGAACAGAAATGGATACTTCAGGTATTAATATCAAAACGTATAAAGTGTCATGGAATTTGTGAATAAATCATAAAGCCAACTTGAAAGTTATTATTCATGCTCTGTGATATATGTCTTGCTTTTATATGATATATACAAATACTTATGAAAGGTTTTCATGAGTTTCCAGGAGTTCCCTTAGAAAATATGACCAGTGGGAAATCTCAGGACGTGTTTTATTGTTCTCGAATCTGTTTTAAATATTCATATTAATCAAATCATGCTGTCGTCTAAACCACATCAAAAAAGGCATGAAAATTAAAATGAATCAGTGCAATGCTCTAATGAAGGACTGGAACCATAGGGGCTCTCTGACTGGATTCAGATTCAGGTTTGTGTGTGAGTGTTTGTTTGCTGGATGATAAGGAGTTTGTGCATTCTGCTTAGAGGAAATACAAAATAGTTAAGTTGCACCCTAGCACCACAGAACATTATAATCAACTCTATGGCCCTTTTTTACTTCTGCCTGAGTCAGATTGGCTCCACAGAGCTGCTATCAGTGTTTCCCTCACAGACACTTCTGCCTAGTTGATGTGTCCACTGCAAATGGATTTAAAAACAGCTGAGCTCAGTCTAATGCCACCATCTTGCAAACCAAATGTTTCTTTTTTTTACTTTTTGGTGACTTTGTTACCCTCATCCAAACAGATTAAACCATCATGTCACAACCTGATAAATGCGCTTTACTGTAAACTTAAGCAGGTGCTGAGGCATTGGAATCCTCTTGGGAATGGTTCAGCCAATTTTAAGAGATGCACTGCTGAATAGTCAAATATAGATATCCAATTAAAATTTGAAGGGCAGGTGTTTCATTAAATTATTGAGATAGCCTGTCACCAACTGACTTTTTTGAAGGATAGATAAGCAACCAGACATATGGGGATGCGTGTGGATCTCTCTGCGAGGCTGTCTTTCTCCAAGCCTGTCTTTTTAGATGCGCTTCAAAGGAACAAAGAGCCAAAAAGAGCCAAAAAGAAAGATACCCGACGGAGTCTGTCTTTGAATGTAGCAATGACTGGCTCATTTCAATCAAGGAGAGGCAGACCTGCTTTCAAACCCAGAATCTGTCTGTTAATACATCAAAGAAGTACTGTCTGACACAAACAAAAAGCCTGTGACTGATGCTATCACGACGCGTGTTGAATTAGAATTGAATATGTAACCGTAAATCCATCACCACAAAATAGGTCTGAATGAATATTGGCATTCTAAAAGAAAGACTATTACCAGGCACTGCTGCTTGTGTCAAAGAGAGGGGCGGGAGGCATATCGGTATATTTTTCTCTCTGAATCTGTCATCTTGACCTTTACTTCAAACTGGAACATATTTCAGCTGACATTGCTTCACAAATACTCGTACAATCTTGTATGCACACAAACTTGCATCCTAGGCTGCCTTCACATTTTTCAATGGTGGCATTATCGTGTTCAGCAGCAACATCTAGTGGTTATGTAGCAAATAGGCCTTCTCATGTTGCAGACCTCACTAAAACACCTTTTTACACAGAATGTTAAAAAAAAGTTTCTTTGGTGGTATTCTCAATAATGGCTTGCTTTGACATAGTTTGACTTAATTTCTCTTGCCCTCAGAGCTCCTCTGATTGAATGCTGTGTTTAACAAAGAAAAATAATAATAAATATAAACAAAACAGCTTTTGAGTCAGTTGTACAGTTGCCATCCAGTGAAGAAAGCTTTGGCAGATTAAAGAGCCAAAATTCCCTCTGCAAGCAACTCACATATATGACTTTTGGTTAATTAACAATGTATAAAAGAAGGAAAGGGGTTATAAAGCAACACAGAGTAAAAAGGATCCAATATTATGAGATTTCCACTGTAGATAGAACCATTTTTTTTTTATAAATGATTATATTTTCCATCGTAATTCTAATCTTTTAAGCAACCCTGCAAATGTCCATAGAGTTTTAGGTCAAGTGCAAAGAGTCAGGACTCATTGGTCTACTTTGGTCTTAAAGTAGTTCATGCAGAGCTCTAAGGACCCTTTGGGGTAATTTTTTCTGCTGTGGAAAGAATCCTTGAATAACAGAAATGTGATTCTCCTCGATCTTCCTGACCAGTTCATATAAGTTACCTGAATGTGCATGTCAATGAATAACTCCACTACATGTGACATAGTGCACGCAGGCCTCATGTACACAGCAGAACATCTGAACATGTCTGACAATGAATCGCTGTGAAACACTGCCACCCAGTGGTTATGTCACCCCCCTACAGTTTGGTATAGATAGTAATTGCTGTTCATTGCCTTAGGGGACGTGCCCCAGGTGTGTACAATTTTGTCATAAAACCCCAAAATGCCCTTCTTTCCGCCTTCTTTCAGGTTCTAGAGTTATTCAGTTATCTAGCAAATATTGGACAAGAACTTGATGCATCAGTTTGGTATTAAGAGACGGTTGAAGCAAACAGCTGTTATTGCAAGTGCAAAAATATCCGTGACTGGATCTGTCTTTTACTTTGTCAGTTTTTATGTTACACATTTTTTTAGAACGGTCAAATAATCATGATTACCAAACCATCCAAACTAAACTATGAACCCCTCTCTCCTCATGTACAATTTGGATTTTAAAATGCTGTCTGACAATGTTAAATACATACATTGCCAAAAGTAATTAATTCATTTTGAGTTATTCCATTAATTTACTGAGAATAAGAATAAGTGAAAAGGTTTTTCTAGCTGGGTAAGATTCCTCGACCTGCTTCCAATAACTGTCTTCTCTAGAGTTGGTTGTGCTATCTAGGTAACATTATCAGACTGGTATAGATTTTTTATTGCTATACTGATGATGCTCAGTAATGTATTTTTCTAAACCAATTGAAACTAATAATTTTTCAAACCTTTAAACATGTGTTGAAGGTCTAAAGACCATAATGTTTTACAATTTCCTGCTTAAACATTCACATAAAACAAAATTTGCCTGTGGATCGGATAGCTTCAGAGAGAAAAAAGGAGTCTAGCCAAAATGTTATTTTGGATAATGTTTTCCCTTGGCTTCTAGTATTTTGTAGTAGTGAGAACACCCATAAAAGTGGCTCGTATTTACTTCTTTCATTTTCTAGATAGTGCAAAACTAAGAAACATCCTGTCTCAAGTGCTTAAAAAGTCTTTATTTGGTGCAGAAATGCATTTATCCTCTGAGTTTAAAACAAACAAAAAAAAAAATGCGATCAATATTTAATTGGGATCTGTAATTTACATCTGACCTATTTTCCAACAGTAGTTAAATATCATCTGTTCTTTGTCAGGCAATAAATTATCCAAAACTGATACGACTAAAACACTCACTGACGTATGCCCCTGGATTATTTAGGACTCACCTCCACTGTGCACTGTTGAGATGTAAAGTGTCAGAGTCAATTAACACAATCAACACAAGAGGCTAAGCAGACTGCGTTGGGAATAAAAAAAAGGAAAACCCTTGTATTCTTTAATTGACAGGGAAACATCCTTCAGGACAAAGGTTGGTCATCACACACCGTAATAATCAGCAATTGTACAATAGATCGCATCTGCCCGTGTGTTGAAGCTTTGAACACCACCCATCCCCTCCCTTTTCCCTCTGATATGAGGGTACAACACGCCATGGAGGACTTATTGCAGACACACTGGCTCTCCTCTGACAGACAGAACATGTGCACCTTCTCCCCTCTTTGTAAGGCCTCGGGGGGTGGGTGGGCGGACCAATCACAGAAGGGTTGAAAGAAAGATAGACGGAAAGAAAGAGAGACAGAAAGACAGCAAGAAAGCCAGCAAGAAAGAAAGAAAGAAAGAAAGAAAGAGAGAAAAAGAAAGACAGAAAGCTTCTTTTTCATTCATATAAATGTTTGTCAGTGTTAAAACCTTCTGGGTCTTGCGTTTAAAAGCATGATGAACAGCTCTTTGTCAACCCAGAAAATGCAACTTATTAATAATCTGGTCGGTTCTTCACAGAGCTTTAGGCTGGAGGCTACTCCTACATAAAATATACATCAGATAATTATTTTAACCATTATCAGAGTTCCACTAGGCTCAAATTATTATACGGAAAAGTGAAAAAAATGTTCACCTCGTTTACTTCGACAAAACTGGTTCTAAACAAAACAGAACCGACTTAGTTTCCATTTCTCTCTATAAAACCGTATAAAGAGGAGAATGGTCCTCATACCGTGAATAACCACCCAGTATTGCATTGGACAGTAAAGAATAAGGTCATTTAATCAGTATTTCATCAGATACCAATTAATAAGAGCCCAGTGCAATTAGGTAGTCAATCTACAAATGGAAACATCTGAAAATGCAAATATCAAAATCTCCAAAACATCCAGATGATTCTTTCCCAAAAGTTTTTTTTTTCTTGAATCAGAACATGCAATAATCAAAACTGTTTCTTCAAAAACAGGATTTAAAGACTGAGATCTAAAGATCTGCAAATCGTAAGAACAATTACGCAGTCACTCTACCAAATGGTGTTGATTAATAGGGCAATATGCTTTAAATAAGCAATGTCTGCAGTTACAGAAAGAAGCTGTCACCAGACTACTTTAAATCTCCCACTGCTGACAATCTGTGCAGTAAGAGGACAAGAAACAGGATGAAGCAGTTGTACAATATTGACATGTTGATGCACATATGGTACCACAAGAGAAAAAAAAAATCAAATAAGGGAAATGGGTTGATGACAAACTATACCATGTTCAGGAAGGAGGGGCTGCTTCTCCAAGCCCAATACCGGATATGTTTGACTGTGACAAAGCTGGAAGAAGAGTGCTCATACAATATACAACAACACTTTCAACCTGTGATTTTCTACGAAGATGCCAACATATATCAGGCCTCCGTATCTCCACTTCCATTTGATTTCACAGCCTGAGGAAGAATCAATCAGGAGGTGCTGATTTAGGGCAAAGACAAAAGTTTTGAGCCACCTGCAAAAACTGAGGCTGACACGCAGTTCTGTTTTCTGCCCTTAACATGCATACTATACGGTGAGGGAGAGAGGAAACTACCGAGAACCCAAAAATGGGAGCAATAAACCTTTAATTTGCTGATTTATAATGGTCTCTGCAAGCATTAGTAAACTGAAATGGCCCTTTTTGTTGTGAATTTAGATATCTTAAACCTAAATTCAAAGGTAGCTTTTTAACAAATTCAAAGAAAAACTCAGAATTGAGCTTTTGTATCATTTCAAATGTTACTGACCTGCACAAACTGACTTTGGCTGTTATGAAAAGCTGAAATTGGATATTTGACAATAAATTGTAAGACAAAGCTTTCAGTCATGGTACAGCATCAAAGCACTTTGGTTTTCACTCAGATTACTGAGGATTTGTGAATGTTTCATGCCGATCGCAAAAGAAAAAGAAAACAAGAAACGATGCTGTCCCTGCTAGCGCCTAAAGAAATTTCAGTTGACTTGAAGAAGCTTCCAAGCATACTCGTTGTAAGTGGGGGCCAAACCGGATTGTGGACAAAGAGAGAATTAAACACATATTGTGCTGTTTCAGAATACAACTATGGCTTGATAAGCAAGCATTCAACCACTAGAAGGAAGGCGCTTTTCACAATCTGTTGTTCCCACCTTAAGGGTTGTCTGATTCCATCTGAGGGAAGGTCCATTTAACTCAACTGTGATGTGTGAAAGGAATAGGATGCACTGTTGAATGTGAAATAGCGGGTGAGAGGACAAAGAAAAAAAAGAGGAATGATCAATGGCTTATTGAGTCCTCAGCGGAGATGCATGTCCTTCTTCTGCTTACATTAAAACCATCAGCAGGTGGGCCTGAGCTTTTGGAAAAATCTACAGTACCGAACACTGCTTCCAGCAACACCCACCCACTCCACCACAGCCACAGTTCGGGCACAAGTACCTACAGTAGCATAAACACTAGAAATAGAAATATTCTCAATGTGTTATCATATAAAAATGGTTTTATATTATATATAGTTCTACAGTATGTATGAATACAAGAATGTGTGTGGATGTCACTATATTTTCCACAAGTATATATTATTATTGCACTCTGGCTACACATATTTAAAAGTTAGTTTGGTTGTCTTTAGATGTACAGAAACACAGGTGTGACAGCTGATCCAGCTGGAAAACAAACTTGGAAGAGCGGCTCAGTGATGCTTTTTCTCTGGACCAAGAATGGATTCTGTTCATAATGTGAGCTGACACTTAGCCAGCAGTCCAAATACATATTCGGAAGTTTAGCGTATTTTTCAATTTTCTTTCTTATTTGCCCGGACAGATGAAGACATAAAAGTAGAATTTCTTCAACTTCATATTTCAAGAAGGTCAAGAACTCACTTTTATTTAAGTTGAAAACTAATGGGTTTGCACTAGCTCTGCTGATCTTTCCTGACACACCCACAGAGTGGCAAAAACATTCAACGCGATTCACATAGATGTGAGATCAGAAGACGAAAACTGGAATATCATCCAATATGAAGGCTGTTGGTATTTACCAGGAGACTCATAATAACAATCTGAGGTATCAGACTATAAATCTGTGATTCAAGCCTGGACTTCTATATTCTCTATGAATAGCAGCACTAAATTTGCCTTATCTACTCTGTAAAAGTGTAAAAACAGAACAATGTGTCTTCCTGCTGAAAATTTCCAATAAAATTGATGGCACAACAACTCTTTTGGACCATTTTGGACATCTTTTTGTGTTTTTTTTTGCCAGTCAAACATTCCTTAGCTGTCCAATGCCACTCAGTGGGGTGTAATCATAAAACATTCCCAGCTCTTACTGCTAAATCTGAATATATCATATATTTAAATTTAAAGCTAAAATAGTGGGGAAAAAGATAAGGAAAATCAATTTGTCCAGCAAAATTGAGCCCACTTCACAAGAATGTTCTTTTGACACCAAGTACGTATAAGTCAGAGACAAATCTACAGAAACACATCACACAGCAGTCCTCCTCTGTTTCTTTTCCAAAATAGAAAAATAAAATTCCTCTCCTCAAATTCAACTTGCAGTTTAAGGAGGAGGTTGATCTCCTTCCCCGCTCTCAGATGGTTTAGTTTTTTTTTTCTAAAGAAACATACATTCACAAGAGGACAACAGAGGAAAAACAAGCAACTCGAAGTTCAAATTTGTGTGCAAAAACATTTTAGACCTCTATAAAAATATGTGCATATGGATAGAACTATTTTTAATCTCACCAAATACAGTATTTTCCTTTATTTACACTGCGCAGATACACAAAGAAACAAACTACAGATCTGCCCCACTCCCCTCGCTGTCGTTACAAGCTTAACAATAACATGGCTGACTTCCGTAACGACAAATTTTGACAAAACTCACAAAGAAAACACGCACGCACACACACACGCGCGCGCACACACACACACACGCCTCTGCTCTGATCAATGTGATCGAGGAACAGAGGAGGGGCAAGCGGAACTTCTGTAGAAAACCTGAAGTTGCATATCCCACGATCCCCCACGTTCGCATTTCACAGACCACTTCCCGGAAAGGTCAGTGGTGATCAGCCAGACGCTGCTTCCTGATTGGCTTGCGTGGGTGAGGACAGTGTGTGAAAAAAACTTTGGCTACAGAGTAAAGTGGCTTTAGTCCTGGTGTGCGACTGGCGTCAGTCCTGAACAGACACACCATGTACAGTGAGTACTATAGTTGAAAAGTACAGCCTCGGTTGATCTTTTGTCTTTCGAGCGAGGTTTAGAAAAATCGATGCATTGTCTGTTTATCCTCGGAAGAGTCACTAACGCTTGTCCCTCTGGAAAAGAGTGATTAGTATATTTTCCTTGCAAATGAAAACAAAAGCAAAAAATGCTAATGTCCCACTCATCCTCATTTTTTCAATTCTCTCCACTGCTGACGTCAGCTGAGGCGCCTCTTCTCCAGCTAGTGATTTCCGACCAAATCATCTACCTCCTGAATGACAGGTTCGTGTGTTTACTGGGCAGTCCTCCGATTCTTGGCGCTGAACCCCGCGCCGCTTCCCAGTCTGCTGTCGAAAGGGGAGGAGCAGGGGGCCGTTTCGGGCTCCGAGATCCCGGCCGACAGGCCGCTCATGTACCTGGACTGTGGCTGGTCGAAGGTGAACTGGGGGAGGGGGATGTAGTCCCCCGCGAGGGGGGAGTGCCTCGCGGCGGGGGAGAGAGAGTGCGTGTGCGTCTGCGAGAAGGACATGGTGCTTTGGAGAAAGGGAGAACGCGGCTGGACGAAGATGTTGGGGCTGACGGGGACGTTTGGGGTCGTTGGCATGGAGGCATGCGGTGCCTTTGTGTGTGTCGGGGTGGAGGTTTGCGAGTTGGTCTGGGCGTGAGTCGGCGAGTGAGCTTGGATCGGCGTCAGCGGCGGCTGCATCTGCGTCCGGATCTGAGCGTCTGCAGATGAATCCTGGGCGTACGGGTTTGGCGCGGCGTCGCAGGACGGCGTCCTGCGCCTCAGCATCATGCTGCAGTCCGCCAGCTTTGGCGGCGAGGCCATCTGGGCGTGCTCCTTCTCTGAGGGCGGGTGGATGGATATGCAGGGGGGGCTCATTTTCTTCTTTCTGTGGTTGCTTCCGACGGACTGCACCCTCGTGGGAAATGCCTGGCCCCCTCTCTCTGACCGGTGGGTCTCCAGTGTAAAATGCTGGCTATCGCTGGCGATGACGGCCTGCGGGAGGCAAACCTCTATGGAGTGCCGACGCTGGTCGTCGGGGTAACCGGCAGACGCCGACGCCGGTTTGTCCAGGAAGCCCTGGTTGTCGACGCTGAAGCCTTTCTTGATGTCCTTCGATCCTCCTCCGAGCAGACTGAGCGTGCTCCTTGTGGAGGAAGTCGGTAGAGGGGGAGGAGGAGGAGGAGGCAAGGAGCCGAAGTCCAGAGAGCACGGCGAGGCGTACGGGGACAGGGAGTGGCTGCGTCCGGCTCTCCGCCTGGCCTCCTGGTCCCCGCCCTCCACGTCTCGCCACCTCTGACGGACCGAGCTGGTGATGTGATACACCTCCTCGTCTGCGGGGTCGGAGAGGGAGACGGCGGAGGGCGGCCGGGGGCGGCGAAGGCTGCCGGAGCGGGAGGGCAGACGAGGGGAGGGGGGTGGAGGGAGGAGCAGCGTTATCGGGGTGGGCGAGGGGGAGGATGAGATCGGAGGGAGAGGAGAGGCGGTAGGCGAGCTGGGTAGAATGGAGGAGATACTGGGCAGGGGTGAGGAGGAGAAAGGAGGAGACAGAGGAGGCAGACTAGTAGAGCTGGGCCTCTCGTGTTGCTCACACCCCTGGGACTCCACAGAATCCAGCTTAACTGCCACCTGCGGCACAGAGAGCACCCCGCACCGTCAGTATCTTTTTTCCGAGCGGACGCAGGCGTGTTAGCATGCGCGGAAGCAGCCGGAACGGAGCCTCACCTGTCTGTGCAGGGCCCGTGGTGAAGGGCTCGGTGCTGGTGGGGCGATACGGGGCATAGTGAGGGTGGGAGGTGACTGGGGGTGAACGGGGGAAACATCCGGAACCTGCAGCAGAGAGTGGCTCTCACAGGGCGGGGAGTGGACTGACATCACTGAGACTGCAGGAGGAGACGTGTCACATGTTCATCACACAGGCAGGGGCAGTTGGGAGGCGGAGGGGGGGAGAGGGGTAATTGAAAATTAACGGAAGACACATGCATAGATGGGTCTACTGTTTCCTATTATGTGGCGATAATTAGGACTTTATTTTGATAGAGCAGTTGGATTTCAAAGAAACAAAGCCTATCATTCATAGATTTGGCTGATTTATCCATTTAGAAATACCATTAAACCTGCTATCAAAATAAAGTACTGTTTTTTTTATCACTAATTCAAGACAAAATGTTACGTTCAGCAGTAGAGCTCAGTTGTCTTCATAAACACTATCAGTTGGCTAAATGGGGTGTTATGGATTAGATCCTGGTTACAATAAGTTTGACAATATTCAACTTAAGATGATTAATGTGTCACATGCTTATGTGTCATGTGGAAAGAAAAGGAAGTAGCAACTTCAAACTTAATGTAACCAGGGTCTACCCACACAGATGATCAGATATACAACCCCCAACCAGTAAGAGATACAATTGGAGGTAAACACACAAAGGAAAACAAAAAAACATATATATATATATATATATATATATATGGTTTATAGTATAAATGTAGTATATATATATATATGGTATATATATAGTGGTTCTTTGCTCACAGCATACAACCAAGATACACTGTTTTTTCTCAGCCACTTCATTGCAGTTGAAATATATGCATCCATTTTTGCATTTCAAGCCTCAAAACATTTTGAGGTTTTCTCCCCTGATTATGTGAGCTATTGATGGCAGCGCAACATAGCTTTGCACCCTTGCTCTTCCAGCGCAATAATGGCTAGTGATGTCCACGGTTAAGGGAAAAATGTGTTATCGCCCATTTCTTTCAAACAGCAAAATCATTTATCTTTGCATTTTGTCGGAAGCTGGAGATCGCTGCCTATATGGGGTTACTGCTTTTGCATGATTACACTTGACATCAACTGTTTAAAAAACAGATATCTGTTATATAATAACTTTTTGTGGAATACATTGAAATACGTGAAATCCGAAAGTAGATGCATTCTAAAAATTGCAACGAAGTTGATGACTTAAGCTATGTTTGGTTCATACTGCCTGCAACTCAACACAAGTCAAAGCAGATGAAAAGATTTGTTGCTATTTAGCTATTCTTCCTTTTTCTTATTGGGGGTTGTTAATCTTGAACAAGTTCAGTTTAGGTTAGTTAATCCAGCTCAAGCTGCAAAGTCACTTTTTTTCAAAATTGCAAACAACAGACTGAAGTTGTTTGTGTTTTACATTTTTTCAAATTAATTCTCTGACTTTGCAGCTTGGCCGTGGGGTTAGATATCATTCTCCTTTTCATTCTCCTATTCAGCCATTGCACGGCTGAGCAGATGAGCCTATGTGAAGGCTGCAGAGATTCACGTGTGTCGGCTCATCCACTGCAGCAAGTACCTTGGGACAGAGCTGGGTCTGTCTACAGCCAGGCCACAACATGCCATTAGACTCTGACTGCAGATAAAACAGCTCCCATCAGTGTTTACAGAACAGCTATCTGAATTTTAGCTTCTATTTTAACTTTGACATTTGAGCTAGAAAGGGAAAAGAAACACACTAATAATGTTATGTAACACTATCAAAATGACCATTTAGTCTACTATGATTTCTTTAGTCCATGATTTCTTTATTAATTTTTTATTTTCATGAATTAAGGTCAGCATTAGGATGCATGCTTCATGGAACAATATCTGTCCATGGATAGTTTAGTGTTAGCACTCATGTCTTTGTCAGTAGACGGTAAGTTAAAGAAAACCCACTTAATTAATGTCCGAAAGTTCTCTGGTTAAGTGACTGGTTACCTGAATGCTGGTGTTTGGGGCTGCCGTCTACTTCCTCCAAAGGGTAGGGGGCGCTGGCAGGACGCACGGGTCGAAACATATAGCTGTCGTTTGGCAGAGAATGCACCCTGGACACTGATATCTTCCTTGTGGACAGCAGGTCCTGGTTGTTGTACTGCACCTCTTCTTCCTGCAGAGGGAGACAAAGATCATGCATTAGAATCTTCCATTTTTAAAAACTTACCACACATAGCAACACATGAAATGGCTACAAACACACTGCACACTGCTAAGAGAGATTTCATATGTTTCATCAACGGTTGCAGTTGTGACAGTAGCCAGGAAACGAGCAAACTAAAAGCCTCTCACCTGTCCTGGTGAATGTGGGCATGGTCCTACATAGGTGCCTCCGACAGAGCTGCTGCTAGAGGTTGTGCTTTGTTTCCGCTGCCTCTCCATTTCCATTTCCAGCGCAATCTCTGCATCCATCTCTGCGTCTTCTTTCGCCTCCTGTAAAAGGGAAATACACTTCTAGTTTGTAACTAAGTCATATGAAAACTCTTAAAACTCAATGCACATGTATGTAAAAACTAAAGATCACTGTAAGCAAAAACATTACACACAAACATTTTATGTCTCCATATTTGCACTTTCTCTGTTTTCTTATTCTTTTTACTGTACCTTGTTGCTCTCTTCGAGATGTTTCATCAACACAGCCACCACCACATTGACCAGAACAAACTGGGCCATCAGCACAAAGGTGACAAAGTAAATGGGAGAGATCAAGGGCAGGTACGTGAGACAGTGTCTTTCACTTGGCAGGCATTCCCTTAATGTGTCCTGAAGAAAAATAGAGCAAGATAAACAAAATTAGAAAGAGTAGACTCTGAGAAGACTCTCATATCTGTGAGAAAATATCAAACTATCAGATTAAGATATTCAAAAACATCAGGACGGTGAGCCCTTGGGACCGGGGTTAAAAAAGGCTGGACTAGGGCACATACCATGGTGTATATGTGTGTGTGATTGTAACGGTGTGTGTGTGTGTTCATACTTTCATAATCCCATTCCAGTTGTCTCCAGTAGACACTCGAAACAGTGTAAGGAAGGCCATCCCAAAATTCTCAAAGGTTGCATGGCGACTCAGACCCTCACATGGGTTGTTGTCATTGCATTCTGCAGACATTAATCACACACAGAAAGGGTAGGAACGAAAGACTCAAACTGGTCAGAGGCCAACCAAGACTAAAGGAGTTCAGGATAAATATAACTGACAATTCTGTAAGCATTCATTTCAAGGACAGTCATTAAGAAAAACCATCACTAGTTCTAATTGTAGCTCTGCCAAAAAGCAGTACAATGTTTTCTGCAAACAAATCCTTTGACTTCATTTAAAAATATTCTAGGTGTGGAGGAATTTTACTTGCAGCCAAAAGAAGTCAGCATCTTCTGAGATGTATGGAAACAAGACAGTGAGAGAGCATGTCTTGCCTGTTATGTGTTTACTGCCAAAATCATGTTATTTGGATCAATCAGAATACAGAAGCAGCTACTACAGGAAGATTTTCTGGGTCAGCATTAAAACTGCTGCAGCACAGTATTTTTTTAATGAAAAAATAGGCTGAAAAATACAAACACAGCTTTCTACAGACTGCAGTCAGTAGTTGATAGGTTTAAACCCAAATGCACATACATAGGCAGGTGGAGAGAACTGAGACTCCCCTCTGAGTATCACTGGCTTTGTTTTCTATATCAGTAACCAGGAGAAAGAGGAGAGGCTTTAACAATGCAACAGTTCAGCTCAGAGGAACTAGATAAAGCAGCTTTACATAATACGTGGATGAACAGCTTTATGCAAATATGCAATTATAGGGAGGACAAAAATGATGTGTCATCAAAAGAATCAGCAAAATATCAACATACAGCACAATGTTCGCAACATATGAAAGGGGAGGAAAAAATAAAATGCTTGGAAGGGGCAGATTACCTAAAATAAGCTATATGATGTGATGTAAAGAAGGGAATGCAAAAATATGTTATATGTTGTCAGCAGTTCCTGCTGATGGAAAATAGACCCTCCTCTCTCTTTCTGGGTCTGACTCATGATGCAGTGGTATAAGGATAAAGGAAGTAACGGCGATTCATTTGTGAGAAGATCAATGATCAGTAATTAGGTTTACTTTCAGAGTTAAAGAGTAATTAGTTCAGTATGTGATTTGAATGCTACAATGGAATCAAATCACTAATGACAGGAATTTTTATTGGAAACAATACAGTAGCTGTGAGTCTGTTTTTGGATGCAGTTGATGGTACTTCAAGAATTTGCAAATAGCCATTTGGAAAACACGAAACCTAAGTGAACCTAACATTTGCAAGTGCTTTTTCCAATGTCTTGAGAAAATAATATTGTAATTTGTTAGGATATTTTAGAAAAATAAATCCTGCAAAGTTGATCAGGAACCATGATGATGTTCCACAATGTGACGCCTTTTATTCTAATGTTGTTGGAAGAAATCAGTTGGAGTTGGCCTTTTGAATAGACAATAAATAAATACATCAAAAAAGTGAATGCAAATAAGCTTTTTTGTATGAATAGAGAGGCCTATGAAGAGACAGTCTGGTGCAGAAACAAAAAGTCTGGATCACAGATATGGATCCACACTCTTCATATGAGAAATCTGCAATAAGCCACAACTGCTGCAACAATAAGCCGAGGCAAAACCTTTTTTTCTGCTGAGGCTGGTCGACCAATGTGTGTGAATGTGCGTGAGTAAGCAGGAGTGTGACTGACCCAGTTTGCCAAAGAGCTCCACTCCCAGTGCTGCGTAGATGAAGAAGAGCAGCATGAAGAGGAGACCAAGATTTCCCACCTGGAAACGGTAAACAAGATAGATGTAGATACTGCGTGTTAAAAGCTCCAGAGAATAGAGGGAATAGAATTGATTTCATTGCCTTTATTCCTCTGGCACACATTTAACCTTGCATTGTAAGTGAACAGACCACAATAGATAAACTTCCCTAAGCTGTTTTTTTTTTAATTCTTTTATTCATTTGTCAAGAATTGCAGATTCTTGTGCTATAAAAATATAGCTGGAAATTTCAACAAGACAGCTGCTGGGTTGGGCTGACCTCAGGCATCTAATTAAAAATATCAAACTACACTAATTGTCACAGTGAATCTTGATTATCAGAAACTAGGGGCTTAACTCAGCCTGCACAATATAGCATAATACCATGACTTCATTTTGTCATACTGCAGGACTGTCCCCTGGGGAGGAGTGATGAGTCGAGGCCCTCAGACCACAGAGGGTACGCACACTATTACAGGCAATATAAAATAATTTGACAGCCGGTGATTAAAACAGTGTCAAATATCAGGAAAAATATTAATCTCAATCAATATCAAATGGAAATTGGCTTTAGAATAAGCAAATGAACAAGGGAAAGGCAGAAGCAGAGACACGGGGGTCAAGATGTACATGATATTACGCGGATGAGCATGTCTTGAATCAAATATTCATCAACAAGCTTGAATTTTTCAAAGCTGTCTGACCTCATTTTCATGCATACGACTACTAAACAAAATCACTCTCTTGCGTTAAGATCCCATAGTCCGTGTTTACCTGCGGCAGTGCTTGCATGACGGTATCCAGAAGGGCTCTCATTCCTTTTGCCATCTTTAGAAGTTTTAACACTGCAGAGACGGAGGAAAAGTACTTGCTGCAGTCAGCTTTTTCTAGCTGAAGAGCCTAACCTGGCAGCAATGTTAAAACTACTCAATGGTGACTGATGTGGACTTGTTCTCATCTTTTTTTTAAAGCTTAATTCACAAAATTCAGACAGAGTTGTGAGCGGCTTTGTGTGTGTCCGTGTGAGTGGGTCTACCTCGTGCTATCCTGAGTACTCGCATTATTCTGATGATTGTGGGATTTATTGGCAGTGCTGCTTTCATTTTTAACTCCTCCAGAGTGATGCCCATGATGGACAATGCCACTATAGCTATATCCAGCTGATTCCACCTAAACAAAGAAAGATCAGCATGAAGGCACATAGAGACAAAGACCACATTGTAGCAGGCATGTTTATCAGCTAAATCAGAGATCCGCCCTCTTCAGTAAATCATATGGAGGTGAGTGCTCCATTAAAAAAAAAACAAAAAAAAAAAACACTGATCTCTGTGGTATAAAATACATCGATTTTATCTCTGATAAAGCCCTGCCAGCACAGTGTGCTGAAAACAATAGGTAATTGATTCACAGAGTATGAGGGCAACGCATGTCCTGATAAGAACGGAGTTATTTATCGTTATCCTTTTACGCATCTTCAGATGCATCATACCAACAGTCACCCTGCTGTGTTACCTGTCTTTGAAGAACCTGTGGATCCCGAAGGCAACAAGTTTGAGCAGAGCCTCGATGACAAAGATGATGGTAAATACGTAGTTACAGTACTTCAGAACCTCCTCTAAATACTGAAAATCAGAAACACACGAATGCACGAAGAAAAAAAAGCATTCTTAGAAAATCAACGCTTGTCCTGCAGCATTTATAAATATCACATTGAAAAAAGTAAGCGTATATTACCTGGGGCTGATTGTAGTGCTCAATGCTCATTGTGAAGACATTGATGCAGATGATGAAGGTGATGAAGAGGTCCAGGTAGTGGCTGGTGCACAGTGTGTGAATGGTCAGGCGCACAGGCGAATAGTCCGCATAGTAAGGCCTCTGCTTGGCCTCTGACGAAGAGAAACACAAAACCAAGACACAGACACAGGAAAGGGCAGACATAACTGTGAGCGACTGACCTCTGAAAATGAAATATGGCGAGTTCAGTAGTGTGCACAGGGAGGCAGACTGGCAGGAAGTGAGAAAGTTTCCCTTTTTACGCTGGAAACGTGCCTTTTTGCATTTTTATTCAATCTAAATTAGCTTGTGCATTAACGATGTTCAGTGGCCAGATGCATAAAAACTGTATGCATTTTCCTCTTTTCATCACCAGATGAAAATGCAGCATCCCTATGTAAAATACATGTTTGAGAGTAGAAAAAGACTTTCTTTATGCTTACGAAACATTTATGCACCTGGCCCTCACGTGGGTCTCTACCGTTATTGGTCATCTAATCCATGACTTTGGAATTTCAATCAAGTGCCGCTGTTCATAAAAGAGTCTGTGCACACTACTGCTTGTGAGTAATTTTCATATGAGAAAGGACATGAGAGTACCAGATGAAGCCCTTAGATGGGCTGTCCTTTTTAAAGACTTGATGCACGATTATTTCATATTTGAGGCATTAAATACAACAGTAATGTCAATTCCAGCTGAAGCTAAGACTCAACAGCATTTTGTGCTCGTACGTTGTGCTCATTTGATAGATCTCCCTTTTTACCTTTCTTTTTTTGTTGTTATTCTGAGAAGAAAGTTGATGATTTGAACCTCTTACTGAACCAGACTAATGTACCGTATCAGTGTTTCCTGATGGAAATGCTATGGAGTCCACTCAAAGAGCAATGCTTCAATGAGAGCACTTTAAAACATTCAGTGCCTCTATAGTTCAATACTTTGGAAAGAAGATTACATTTATTTTTTATATTTGATTGAAATCAAGACTACAGACTATATGGAATGTTTTTCTAAACAGAAGGCATCATAAAACTAAATCCTTGCCTGGGACTAATATGTTGTGTTATAATATATTTGCTTTTCACCGAAACACAAATGTACAACTAGGTTTTAGCAGACTGTACTCACATGTCCAGTATAATGTTTAATGTTATGCGTGCATGTGTTTGTCCCATGTGCACCATGCCCTGACTATCCTCTGCATGCTGATATGATTCTGATGAAATGTCTTTGATGTAGAAGAGTGACCAGGATATGTCCAACCACACAGGCATTACAGACCTAATCATTAAAGCATTACATGCTTCCAAACGAGTCCTTCTTGATTCAACATCTAATATTTAGCTTGAAATGAGTTAGATAAGATTAATTTGCACTGCCTCACTTTTGGATTTCTTAATTAACTTTTCAGTTGAGAAAAGAAATGATGTTGAACACTGAAGCCTCTCTCCTCTCCAGTGGCATCGCTACAATAACAAATCTCAGTGGACTAAAACTATGTTCTTTGAACTGATGAGAGACTACGGTTTGATAGGATGGTCAAACCCTGGAGCTAGTAGCTTGTTCCGGAACAGATGAGATTACATTAAATTTGTCTGGAGTTTAAGACCACTGAGATATGCTACTAATTTAAGTTGAAAGGAGCTCTCCTTTGCTCACACCGCACACCACCTTAAAATCTAAGTCTGTTCCAGAAATGGAAATTAATCTTTTACAATTCTAAGGCAAATTGTCTAGAATAAGTTATAAATGTACTTTGTTTTGACTTTCTTTTGCTGTAGATAGCATGTTGCTGATCTTTCTACTAGTGTTTAGTTTTTTTTAGAAGCTGTAAATGACACTATCTAACCTACTTAAAGTCTACACACAGCTGTGTTAGTATAAGGCAATATTCAGGTATAGCAGCAAAAACTCTGCTATGTTTCTGAGTCTGCCAGTCAAAGCACATTCAAAAGAAATGTTCTTAGTCTTTTTCAAGTTCAGGGGCCTGGGGAGAGGGGGTCAGCTTGCACATGCACTCAAAGGGAGGCTAAGGGTAGTGGCATTTCATATAGGATATCTATTTGACAAGCAAAATGTCTCGAGACATATTAAAAGTTTCTACTGGTTCTTTTCTGTGCAAATATGCTTCAAAGTTTCTTTTCGAAACAAATTAAAGCAATAAAATATCTGAACTTTCGAAGTGGTGTTCAAATATTGGATCTGTTTTATTTATTTATTTTCAATTAATATAACTTAAGTGAGTATATAATGTTTTAATCTAATTGCTAAGGTGAGTTAAGTTTTGCATGCATGGTTTGGGGAGGGTTGGGGAAGGGCTGCAGTCATGCAGTTACATGCATCAGAGTGGCATAGTCCACGCTCTTCAGTTAGCATGAGCTTGCCAGTCTTTTTAAACTCTCCCTCTTTTTTTCTTTCAGTCTCCACAGATGTCCCTGTTTTTCCTCTTTGTCATTCTCTTTTTTCAGGTTTTTGTCAAGCTCTGAAAGCAGGCAGTGCTCAGAAAAATAGACTACCGACCAGCCCCTCCATTCTCCTTACTCCTGCGCTTTTTTTCTATCATTTTCAGCCTCTTCTCTTCCCGCAAACGGGCCTCTTCCTCTTCCTGGTCTTGTCGGCACTTGTGGAAGTTCTCCACCACCACGCCAACGAACATGTTTAGAACGAAGAAGCTGACGATGAGCAGGAAGGAGATGAAGTAGAGTAGCATCCAAGGGTTGTGGTTTCTTGTGGGCTGTGAACAACAGAGTATAAAGCCTTCAAACTATCTGTAACAGTGAGCAGTATTATTACACAGCAAGCACTACAGAATTTGCTCAAGATTACCAAAAAAGAATCTGAAAATACCAACATATAGTTATTATTCAGCACCGGTATCTTGATTTTTTCGTTATTATGAACCATTCAATTTCAGACGTTCATCAAGTCTTGGCCTTAATCGTAACTACAGAAAATATTGCGTATTGTCCATATCATTACCTGTTGGTCCACTCCCACTGCATCAAGTCCATCATACATGATGTTGACCCATCCATCCTTACATGACAGTACAAACAAAGACATCAGAGCCTGCAAAGGGAAGAAAGACAAGGGCTCTTATTAATCCCTTTGATATTCTTTGCTCTTAATGTCTTTACTGTATATTAGCTGTGCAACCACCAGTAAAATGAGGGCCCTGCATGGATATAGGAATATAGCGCTATAGTGGAGGACCATCACATTTAGCCAAATGTAATTAAAACTTTATTGCTTCATAACTGTAGCTGTATCATTTCTCAGCGTGGGAAAAATAGAGAAAATTACTTGGGAATAATTCTCAGTGACATAATACAGCTGTCCAGGCTTAAAAAAAAAACCTAGCTCCTATGTTTCTTTTTCCAACTTAACTTTAGTCGATTAAATCATACCTGAATCAGGTTGTCAAAGTTGTACTTTCGTCGTATCCAGCGATAGTTGGCCTGCAGACAGTCTGACTTATTTGTGATGTTTCTTGTGTCCAGGCCTTCACAGTGGTAGAACTTCCCTTTGAACAGCTAAAGAGGGGGAAAAAATAGAAGAAAATGAAAGTTTGGTTTTTTATTAGTCATTATCTCCATTGGAATAAGGTTTCCAGCTTATAAAGCATTGAGCAGTTACACAACTATTCTCACTTATCAGTGTTTTTTTTTTCATTCGAACAAAAGGCCTGTAAAGGGTCATACAATTAATTTTACAGACAACTTAACTGTCATTCTTTCAAAACTCTAAAGTAATAAAAGCCTCATTATTAGCTGCACAATAAGATGCTTTAAATCCCTGAAGCCACAATTACATAAGTAGCTACTTGGCACTAGTAGTATATAAGGATCAAAGGGTAAAAGAAGCGTGTTCTCGAGCTCAAGAAAGACAACTAAGGTTGCATAATCCGTGCGGTTCATATATTTGAGTGGTGAAATAGTTATTACCTGGACCCCCAGAATGCCAAAGACAATGAAGAAGGCGCAGCAGATCAGGACAATGTTCCCAATAGGTCTAAGAGAGGTGATGAGTGTCTCCACAACCAGCTTTAATCCTGGGGCTCGACTTATCACCCTGCAATCCACCGACATAATTATCAAGTGTTGTGCAAGCATTAACTTATAACCCACTAAAAAAGAACACCAGCACCCACAGACACGAACAAATACACCACAGTATGTACCTGAGCGGGCGAAGTGTTCGTAAAAGACGGAGGACTCTGAGAATGCCCAGGATCCTGTTTCCACCGGTGTATGCCAGATAGACCAGAATGTCGACAAGAGACACAAACACCAATAATCCATCCAGAATGTTCCAGCTAGACTGGAGGTAGCTCTGCTTCCCAAAGCAGAAGCCAAGAGCAACAACCTATTGAAACCATAGTGGAGTTGTGAAGTTCCAACCAAAAGTAATTAGTCAAAATAGCAACAAAAAAAATGGAATACCTTGAAAGATAAAATGGAAAACAAAGTTGTTTACCTTGATAGCCATTTCTGCCAGGAAAATCACAGTGAAAATATAGTTGGAGACTGTCAGAAACAGTCTCTCCTGATGAGAAAAATCAGAACTATTAGCAAGTAACTTCTTTGAATGAAACTGAAAAAATATATCGTGACTTTACCAAAGGACATTTGGTACCTGTTACATCGACTGAGCACCAGTTTAGTAACTTACTTATCAAACAAAGCAAGCCCAAATACAATGATGTCAAACAGTCATCAGGACATTAGTAAAAAATTAAGATACTTCAATTGACAGTTAAACAAGAACAGAGAAAATGATTACATGTTCCATTACAAGTGTAATACATATTTATTGAATAAACAGGTGGAATGTGTGTTTGTGTGTCACACCTTGCTTTTATGGTCTATATCAGGTCTCTCCAAAGCAATAGTGATGCAGTTCAGGAAGATGAAAACCAGAACCACATGGTCGAACAACTTGTGGGAGATGACACTTTGGCACCACACACGGATTCTGATCAAAGAAAAAAAACATCTATGAACAGTTGGTAGTTAAAGCTAAATAAAAACTGTCAAGAAGTGAGAAAGCAATAAGAAAAGTGGAAGCTGAAGAGAGGAAGACAAAGGGAAGTCAGTGAATAGAATATGATTACAGATCAAAAAGTGGCAAAGACAAAGGCTTACACAATCTGAGCCTAAGTGGGAGAAACTGAAAATCTGAGTGTTTGTAAAAAGAACTCAAGATACTGGAACATAAATCTGTTTGGAAATCACAATTCTGCTTTCTGCAGACACTGATTAAGTGTGTGTTTTCTTCAGAAAATGTCACTTAGCACAGAGATATGTCTACGGTTATGATAAAAACAAGACCCACGGGTTCTCTGGAGAAAACAAGTAGAGCGTCCAATCTTCATGCTCTTTGCACCAGCGGGGCTTCATGTTTTGGAGCTCTCCTTTGATCCAGTAGCAGAAATTACTCTGGAGGGGGCAAGAACACAAATATCACTCTAATTTGTAAAAACTACTTCTACTACAAAACCTCTTCATTACGGCTTAAAACCTAAACAGCTCTGAGTGTCATGTTCTTCCATGTTTCAAATCATAATACCCAAATAACCACCTCTGTCATAATGTTACTACCCAAATCGAGAAGCAGAAAAAACACTCTCTAAAAGTCTTAAGTCTTAAATACTAATTGTTTTTACCAAAAATAGAACACATTAATGTTAAAAGAGCCACAAAAACAATTAGGAACAGTTGGGTTTATAAGCAGCAGGAACCCCTCAGTCTCTTCATTTGTGGAGTCCATGGAAAAGCCATGCAACCCAAGTACAAAGATCTGCTGTATAAGTTGTTTTTAGAATGACACCTTTGTCTAAATGGTGATATCAAAGTGTGGACCGTTTAAGGAATGTTCAGGTTTGGACGGTAGGTGGCATTTTGTTTTCCCCAGCAGCACATGAGTACTGTTGAGGCTAGGTAGTGCCAACGTGTAAGCAACATAAAGATGTTTCAATTGTTACATAAATTATTGTTCAAGAATAGTGCATAGTGTATTCATAGGTAGGGACAATGTTATGAGGGTTAGAGTTTACACAGTCAAGCGATAACAAAATAACTGAAGAAACAATGCACCATTTCAACATTTCTGAGAGTAGCTGATAATAGCCATTCCTTATTCAAGTCTATAGGGGCACAGTAAACGTGTTTTTTGCTGGATTTGTGGAAGGAGATAATTGTTCAATAACAAGTAGACCTCCAACTTCGGTAGTCCACAAACTCAGCACAGAGTGCACTGGAAACTCATTAAAGTTTGTAATAAAACAAACTGAGAAAGCTGAGACCCACAGCTTCTGTAATTCAGGATTCTAATTAAAAACGGCCCAGAGTCAAGCCTCTCAGACTCTGCTTATTTGGCATACCGCCACTTAAGAGTGCATCTGGGTATGTTCTTCTGTGTGGTTGTTTGTCGGAGTCTACATAGATGAAAAGAACCTGGATCCATGCATCTATGTCACGTTACGTACACACGCATGTATATGTGCCCTTGCACGTGCACAAGCAAGCACACGGCTAAGGTCCCTCAATCCAGTGTTGCAAGGGACAATCTTTTTGTCTCAGTGAGTGTTATGGCTTGTTAAACTCAATTTAGAGTCAATAAAACCATGAAGTGTTACAACAGAGGTCACCTAAAATGAGCAAGGGAGTAAATCTTTCTGCGGACTTAACACACGCACAGAAACACACACTCGGATACACAACTCATTGGAATGCACTGCCCTCAATTAATTAATTAAAGCATGACCATTAGTGTCCCTCCAGGCCATACAATGAGAGCTCAAAATACACACCCAAAGTAAAGAGAGCGGTAAAGGCCACAGAAGACAAAGGAGAAGGGGATAAGTGTGGGTTAGAGAGAAGAACTCAAACAAAATGTGTTAACAGAGACATTTAGAGCAGATTAACGGATTAAGAATTAAGAAATGTCAAATGTATATTAATTATTGCTGTACATAATTGTAAAACAAGCAAACAAAAAGTTGATGAAATGATTCAGATGGTATCATGCTGGGGACCTTTGAGAGCAGCCCAAACCTTGCTGTAGAGTTCCGAAATGTCATTTTTTTAAGGCTGTGACTCAGAGTTACTTACGTCATCGTCTATGTCATCCTCAGGCGAGAAGTCGCCTCTGGGTTCAGAGATCACATTTGGGTCGTAAGTCATGGTTCTCCCATTGCAGTCGCTATACTCTCCTATTATGGAAGGGCAGAGAGTAGACGCCTGCAGCAGCTCCAAGGACCCCGGTTTCAGTCTGTTATTTATCCCAGCCTCTCCCCGTTCGACGGGGCCGTCGTCCTCTTCTCCCCCTTCCCCAGACAGCAGGCTCTCTCTCTCTCCACTGGTGTCTCGCCTTTTGAGGCTGGGCGCTCTTCCCAGGCTGTTCCAGCTGGAACGGCGGCTTCCCCACGAGCTTCCAGATCCACGCGGGGGAAGAGGGGAGCGCCGCCCGGGACTTGAGAGGCTCTGCGGAAACGGGACTTAGGGTTAAAAACAGCGTCCCCTTATACAATATGGATTTTTTCATAAAAGGATACCTGAAAACCGAGTTGCTGTTTATGTGAAATAAATATAAGCTGAGTGGATTGTGCCTTCACTTTGAGTATGACAAATAATTTCAGGCCTTCCAGTCTATCCCATAGTAATATCTCTAAATCCGATTTAGCTCCCCAAAGCTGACATTTTTTAACATGATCTAAGACAAGGCTGAGATAACATTTTATCTGGATTCATGAATGTTTTCTCTGCAGTGTTTCCAACTTTTTACATCTTAAGTAGATTTTGCATTTTTACTGAGATGCCACCAATTGGTTATTGTCTTGCTGTTTCTTTCCACTTGTTTTTAACAATCAGAGTTACATGGCATTTTAATTTTCTTTTTTTTTAAGTAATGAGAGGTATGACATTTCGGAAATCTGCAACAGTATTGAAATTTTCCACTTATGAATATTTTGACTCTTTGGATTCTCTGTTTTTTCAACTTCTGCCAGACTGAAGGCCGGCAATGATTGCTTCTTCACACTAGAAGCATGGCATGCGGTTTTGATTTAGGGTATCTGTTTTCATTATTTCCTCATATGTAAAGCCATAGAACTGAAATAAATAGGGCTAATCTTTTCATTTATCTTTAAATGTTTAATCATAACTATTTACTTTTTACAATGATACATATTGTTAAAAGAGACTATCTGTACAGTATAGTTGAGAAACACTGACTGCATATTTACATCCTCTGTGGCATGCTGACACATTTCAAGCAGGAATTAATTGATTCTGATTTTGTGCCTCAACAAAAGGACTGGAGGGTTCATAATAGGGGTAAAGCCTTAGTCATCAATGCAAATCAACTGGCTCATGATTCTGTCACTTAAATGACATTGCTATCTCGATATTTGAGAGAGACCAGTAAATAGTGTTTAGAATTGTGGTGGATAAAACCCATCTGACAGCCATGAAATGACGCTCTAAATGTAACAATCAAGAGAGGACAGACGTGCTCTTTACATCTCTTTCAGCTGACAGAGAGCAGCTATTTAAGATAAGACTACCAACAACCATTCAGAGGCACAACTTCTTTACAGAGATGTGGAAAGTTGATACGACCACATTAATCTTCCCTCCCCAAGTGGGCGAGTGGATGTGTGGCATACACAAAGCGAACAGCAGAGGTCTGAGTGCCTGCCCTCTGCCATGAGGGAATCTGTTTTCCTGTGCCAGACCAACTTGCTGACATAGTTCAGTTCCACTTGTGCATCTGGTGGATGAGCTGATAAAAAATCCCCCGAGGGTGATAGCGTCACAATTCATCCATCACCACAGGGTGGCTAAGTTGTTTATTGAGTGTAAAGGAATATGTGAAATGAAGTTATTGTCTTTGGAACAGCCGTGTCTTAATTCAGATGAACACTTTTTTGTCTTTCACTTCTACAGTTATGTGTGTTATGAAGCAGGCAATGCATACCTGCCTCATTAACAAGAGAGATTCATATTCGTAACAAACAAGCTTTGCATCATTGTTGGTTTTGCTTACTAAAGAACGCTGGTCATAAGCTGACGGGTCCATAGATGTTGAGCTTCCTCGACGGGACTCCACGTGACTAATTCCTGCCTCGGAAAAACCCAGTCCGACGTCCCCATATTGTGGGATACCCTCGCTGTAAAAGAGTTCTTCCCCCAGGACGGACTCGGGTCCCAGGGAGCTCTTGGGAGTGGGCATTGGTGTGGCGGCGGTGTGCATGATAATGGGCGGAGCCATAGCCCCACGAGGGTCAATGTGACCATTTGCTGTCATCATCAGAGAGTACATCTTAAGTTCTACGGAGAAGAGAACCAGACAGTTTGGAACCGACCACTGGTAAGAAGAATAAACAGTCAAAATGAAGGATTGCTCCCACCCCACGTCACATACCGGTGTCTCTGAGCTGCTCTACCTTTTCGTCCTCTTCAAAGTTGTCCGATTTCTTTTCGTCATCTGACTCTGAGCGATTGGCATCACCCTGCAACACAAACATGCAAATGAGCCAATTAAAAGTTTTCCTTTTAGTTTACCATTAGAGGGAACATTTGTGAGGCAGGATTTCTTTCAAGTGTGGCATTGAGCGCAAGCACATAGAAGTGTGGCGTATTCAGCGCTCCAAGGACACGTCTGTGGTGGAGGAAGTTGTGGATACCCAGAGGGCACAGTGATATTAGAGCTCAATAGATAGAAATTGACTATTTGAAATCATTAGCGCCTATGTTGTAAAGTGGTGAAACCTTTCCTCTCCTAATCCCCTTTAAAAAGCCATGGTGGCTTTGTGACATGACAGGTTGATAATTGAGATTTTGGACTAGCGGCACTCTGACAATTCTTATTGGAAGTCATTAAAAGTCAAACAAGGCCTTAAGATACAAAGAACACAGTTGTGGATGAAAAAGGGCTATGTTTTGGAAAAGGCTGTTAGTATGTGTCTGCTTGTGGTGATATTAATGGCTTAGAATAAGGCTACTTATGTCATTATATGTGTGCTTTCCTTAAAACAATTATAAATAAAATAGCACTACCGAACAGAGAGAAACATGTCCACAAAGGGTAACACAATAATTTTTATGTCTAAAAACATTATCAACATATCCACTAACTTAGCTGACTGCATACATACATAGAATACCACATGTGCAGTATTTCATGCTGATTAATCACACAAAGGTAGTGTGAAATATGCTAAGTGTAGCGACATGTCAAATTTAATTGAACTGATCATCATAGTAAAACACCAACCCAATAGTCCTCACCTCAGCCTGGAAGCCCTCCACCAAAATTGCAACTAATAAGTTGAAGAGGACATAGTTGCCAAATGTCATGAGAGCAACAAAGTAGAGAGCCGCCCATGGAGACGTAGAAGCCATGCCATTATACAACACCACATTCCAGTCCTCCTGGGTAAGAATCTAGAAATTGGATGAAATGCAGAGAGAAGTACGCATAAATAAGCTGTGAAAGTGGAGCAACGCACTGAGGCAGAAAAAAAAAGAGGACAAAGAGAATGTCGCTTTTAGTAATGTAAAATTAAAACGTCAGAAGATGGCTAGAAAAATGGAACAATGTTACATATTATGCATTCTAAAACCAGCATGAGATAGACGTATCAGCACAATATATTGATTTAAGGAATGTATCCCTTTCACATTTGCTGTGTGTAGAAATGCCTGCATGAATTATTCCGGGTGAACTCTTGTCAAATGCCAGAAAACTACCGTAAATGTTCAGAGTGAGTGCAGCTTCTTCACATGACAGCTGGCATGACATAAAATGCTTCCTCAGCACCAAAGAGAGTTCGCTGCATCCTGTGTTGAACCTCTCTGCTGACGCACCCAGCCCAGGGAAAAAATAACAATCTGTAGCAATGGAGCAGCGTCTCCAAAGGGGAGTGAGAGCAAAAATAGAACCTAATTACAAAAGAGAGATAGGGGAGCCAATTAAAGTAGAATTTTTGGAAGCATTTGACCAAATCCCCGTCCCCTGTTTTTTTTTAATCTTGTTTTTGCTGCGTTACGATGGCAAATGTGAAGAATCACACTGAGATTGTTGTCTGTGGATACAAATGATGATCTTATGTTTGATAATGAACAGAATTCAAGACGAAGCGACTGACTTTAGGATGATCTTGACCAATACAACTGAATTATCAAAACAAACCAAAACTATTAGTAAAAGTAGACTGAAGCCGAAAGCAAAATGTATTTTTTGGAAATACAAAAAAAATAAAATAAAAGGAGAAGAAGCTGTGGTAAAGATCTTGAGTCCTCCAGGTCATGCAATATCTGGGATTACAGCAAAACCTGCCAAAAGATGAATGCACGCCTTCATAAACGATGCATACATTCTTTTTCTCTTAGCTCATAGAACCTTTACCCTGATGCCAATCTGCACTGTTTTGTACAGTTTCAGCATTTCTACTACTTGGGGTGATTTATTACTGTACAGACTGCATACATCAAGCATCACGTCATATCCAAGGTCACCAGATGCCTTTTGAACACTGCAGAAGAGAACTCACACGCTCTATTCAAAGCATATGTTTTGACGCAGCCCCACACATCAAAACACAAAAGAATGGCTTTTACATTAGATTTGATTTGCTAGCTCCAGCAAGGACACTGGGGAAATAAGGCTTTTTTTTCAAATTGTGCATGCTTAAAAAAGTAGCAAGAAGAATTAAACTAGAGAAAGAAAAGTGATTGATAGCCACTAAGAGTTTTTTTCTTTTAATAAGTAAATGACACAAGAAATTCATTTCCTTCTAAATTAAATGTCATCTGTACTCATCACTGCTGTGATCAACCTGCTCAATTTATCAGCTGTCAGTGATGCTCGCTCCATGACTGATCAACACACTTTTTTATCTTAATCCTGGCCTATGGATGCAGACTTGGTGTCAGATGATAAATTGTGAAAGATGTGGAGTGCAGAGTGCTGCTCCAGGCAGTTCATCCATTTAAGTAGTGTCATCTTACAACCTTCTCCTTCCATCTTTATTTTGTTGGTCACCAGGTCAGTTTCATGTGGTCTCCTTCTTCTCCTGAAGCTACCCAAATGTCTTCACAAATTGCAATAATTTGTAATCATGAAATAAAAAAAACAGAAAAAGAAAAAGAAAAACTCGGAGGGACAGAAGTGTTAAAAATAACGCAAAGATGAAAAGGTAGGTCAGGGGAAAACCAACCTGGAATACAGTGACGATGGCCCAGAGCAGAGTGTCAAAGTTCTTGCGGTCAGGGATGGTGTCTCCATTCTCCATCCGTAGACTGAATTTACACCCGAACAGGTGCATGCCCAGTATGCTGCGGAGACATTTTTTAAACAATGGATGCATAAAGATTTAAATGTGTCTGCGCGGGGAAGGGAAAACAATAGTTTTACAGACATGAAAAAGAGGCCTATCTTGTGAAAAAGGCCTGCGGACATGTGGGGGGACCTGTGATGTTTTGTAATGAATTTTCTTAAGTCTGAACCTGAAAGTGAAGATGAAAAGCATCAGCAGCATGCAGAAGGTGGCCACATTGTCCATGGTCTTCATCAACACCACCAGCTGTCTCCTCAGGGCAGGCAGGAAGCGAACGAGCTTCAGCACCCTCAGCAGACGAAATGTTCGCAGGACTGACAGTCCACCATCCGCTTGGCCGATTATCTCCCACACGCTGAGGAGCACATAAAGCAAAGCTTGCCTTAAATACTTGTAGACGAGTATTCTGCGCAGTGGCGACATCCCAAACTCGGTCCTGCACTTACCTGATGATAACTATAATGCTATCGAATATGTTGTACGGGTTTCTGATGTAACCAAACAGGCCAAAAGCCAGCAGCATGAAGCCCATCTCCAGGACGAACATACTGGTGAAAACGATGTTGCTGATCTCTAACACGTCGGTCAGTTCTTCAGGCTAGAGGGAGACAAAGTGTGAGAATACAAGAGAGAAGAGGAAAGGGAAAGAGGACGAGAAAGAAAACACAAACAAAGAGTTTAAATCTGCACTTTTCTAACCCTGAGGTGTGAAACCGTTTTGGTCTCTGTGCCCTGAGCGGAGACGTTATCAATCAAGTTCAGTGCCGATGTCAGGACAAATCAATCAAAGGGAGACCAACAGCATTAATATATATCACTGCTGATCTACTCCACTTACCTCACACTATGTTCAGTAATCCAGCAAAGGTTTAACTGAGCCTACCAAAGCCTCCCATAAAGCATGTAAGACAAGTCTTTTATGAAAAACGTGCCCTTCTAAATGTGCTATGGGACTACATCTGCAAGTTTTTCCCACGGAAGCATATTGGCTAAATTGGAATCAATGATCTAAATGTGCTGAAATCGATGAAAAAATGTAATGCAGTCTTCCATCCTGTGGTGGGAGAAAAGCTCAGTCAGTGCTAAGAATGTGAGGGGGGGGGGAAACAAAAGTCAAAGCAAGTCCTGAATGAAAAAAACTTCAAGGAAGTGTTTTAGTGTTAAGTAACCACACACTGCCATTTTATAATAGATTAATAGATCAAAACATTTGAAAAAAATTATCTAGATATGTCCAGAACTGTCAAGACTGTGGGAGCTGATGCCAGTCTGAACTAATGCACATGAAGGTTACATTAACACATCATAAAAACACATCAGAGAAATTATTGGGAGATGATTAATGGAAAAGGAAAGAAGACAATTCTCTACACCATTCCTCTAAAATGCACAGGAGTGGAAGTATGACGTTGCACCAAATGGAAACACTTCTGTATAGTACAAATACCTGAACATAACACTTGAGAATATATACTTGCTGATTTCTAACCACTGCCACTTGCTCATCCAAAATGAAAAATGCCAACTTTCATCCACAAAAAACATACTGAGTGCTTGAAAGATAATCCAATACTCACTATTTGTAGCAACTGTTATTACGTGAAAAAAGTGCTTTCTCATACATTTCAGAGTAGCTCTAGTGTTAAAATTGCATAATAATCCGAGCCTTACACTCTTATATAAAGAAACATCTATATTATGTATCACTGACTGAAATATATATATTATCAAGGACCCACACAAGCACATCAGTCATGAAAATATTCCTGCTGCTGCTCCCTAAGTTATATCACATTCTCTTTTCCCTCTCAGATTTAATATTTCATTGTATATGGACACTATCATGATTAGTTGATAACCAGCTTTGTACAATCCCAAGATTCAAATGTAAGGAATAATTAGAATCCTGAGGTGACTGAAACTTTATAAAAACCCGCATTCCAGAGGAGGGAGAGGCTTTATGCCTGAGATGCAGCATTTTTTCTTATCAAATGTCACGCAGTGGGGACTCATTAAAGCATACTGCAGTTTTTTTACAATTGTGGATCAACAAGCAATAATCCCAAAGCCAATTATATATCATGACCTATGGCATATAAAAGCAGGTGGGCCTTATTAAAGACTAACCCTGACATGATTCATTTATGGAATTCTACTATCTCAGACAGGAGTTAATCCTCTTTGTAGCTAATTCTGTTGTATCAATATCCACTTTCACAGCTGAACACACAGTGCATATGAATTATATCAAGAAGGCTTTACTGTTATATACCGAGCATGCAGATAATCTTTTACAAATGTATTTCATCAAAACGGTTGTCATCTGGAATCTTGGCCAATTTCAATTAATCAATTGACATTACAAATATAATTATACAATAGTACACAAGGCAAATAATTAGTGAGATGACTGTAACCAAGTTATGTCACTCACACTTTTGATCAAACACAAGATATTATAATTCTGATTTCTGATAGAGGGCGCCATAACACAAAACTCTCCAAACCTCACGTCCCATTGCACCCCAAAACGCACACACAAAGCATCTGAGAACTTGGAAGCACCTAATTTTTTACATCCTCCGTTTGGCAGAAGAGGGAAGGGTTTCTTAATGACAAGCTCTTGTGAATCATCTCTGATAAAGTATTAAGCATATTTCTGAGACACTTGGGTTGAAAATGTCCTTTTTAATTGCAATATAATGATTATGGAGCCCCGAGAAAAACAATTCTAATTAGTATTAGCATGTAAGTAAAATCATGCAAAGCTTTGACTTGTAATAGAATTTTTCCAAGTTAGGCATTGCCGCTTGAGTGAATTATCTAAAGGCTAAAACCACATTAAGTACATGGCGCGCTGATTAAAGACAAAATGTTTCAGTAAATGCTGATGAATGTCTGCTGAATGTAAGAATTAATTGAGCCGAAAACTCCATGTAGATAAATAAGTCACTGTATTAATGACACACGAGTGGGAACTAGCTTGATGAAAATAAGCTGCTGTTTTTGCATTCACCAAAAAGCACGTGTGCAGTGTGCCTGGCTGCCTCTCCACTCATCAAATTACAGATTGGCAGCATTTTAAATATTTACAGTTGAGTGGGCACAACCATCAATTCACCTTCAATAACGCAGACGAATTTGTGCACGCATCCACACCATTTCCCACCTTCTTCTTCCTCCTCAAAGTTTTTGTCAATTCTAGCACTTTGTGGAATGTTGTGTTTCTGCTTAGTCAGTTGATACCTCTGTTATGCCAATATTGTGCATCCTGTTGGTGAAACTAATGTCTTTTTTTTATAATTTTTTTAAGAAATTTGTATTGGTTTTTGGTAGCGGCCTTTTTTTTTTCTGAAGATTTTTATCATGCGTTTGTGGTCATTTTCAAATCATGTGATCAGGTCTATGTTCATTTTGCTTCTTTTTCTGGCAGTTGATATGGGATAAGTCCTCCACTATGCAATGGCCTCTCTTTGAAGATGTGTCAGTGTCCCGTAACAATACATAGTTAAAATCCATTCTGAATGCTTTGGAAAAAAAGATAACAAGTACCCAGTAGCCCAAGCTTTTGTGTCCTGAACTCTGAAAAAAGTAAATTGTCATTTTTTTTGTCTAAATATTCCTTCAGTGACTAACCAGCATATAAAAAGAGCTCCTCAAAACTTTAAAAAAGCATTCCTCTCAAGTACACATATTATTTAGTACACATATTATTTTCAACAATGGACCGGCTGGCATTTTCATTACCTTTGTGACCTAGGTCTCGCTGACTTTCCTGCAGGGAAATGAAAAAGCACACTGCAGATGGCGGTTTTCAAGCCAACTGACAGGATTATATATGCATCTTTACATAGCACTTTATAGTCTGGAAAGAGACAGCCATACAGCGTGGCTCATACAGTCTGTCAACAGGCCACAACGCCGAGAGTTGAGGGTCATAACAAAACAGTATGGTTTTGTTTTGTGCAAAATTACCAAAGCAAAACTCATATCTGCCTTGTGCCCTGGGTTAATGACATGATACGGAGCTAGTATAGCAGAAGGACAGAAAAGCAGATTACGCTTAGAAGAAGCACCCTAGCACCACTTCATGTAACGTGAATTATCTTAAAATCATCTGCTATCTGCAGTGTGCTTTTTCATTACATTTAATAGGCCTTGTATTTCTTATATCAATAGGACATCAGTTCCAAGATGGAGACATTTATGATTGACCCAAATTTTGGAAACAGTTCTAGATTGATTTGAGGATGACAATCCCAACGGAGATTGAGGCTTTCACACCTACACACAAGCAGAGCTTTTGTTTCAAAGCATGATACAGGAACAACTTTGATTGTGAAGCAGGAAACTAACGCATCATGGGGGCGGGATATTCATCTGAAGGAATTTTAGTGGTATGGGCCAATATCATATATGTAGACTTAGTCCAAACAGGATCCAGACTGTTCTCATTCAAACTAGTGCTGTGGTTTAATTGAGCTAAATCTTGTGTGCTTTTCATGTGCAAAGCAGCAGAAAAATGACATGTTAGTTTAAGTCTGCAGGCAAATCTGATTTTCTTACTGACTAACTGCTGGGATTTACCATCCATGCTGCTTTTGAAACATTAAGCTGAATTTGTTGTTGTACTCACAGAAGTATATGGCTGCACTTTGTAAACCATTTCCATGTTGTAGTAAAGACCTGCTAACTTACACAGTTTGTCATGAAGTTTGGAAGATCTAAATATCCCCATTAACTGTTTAAATATTAGACTAAAAAGTACAATATTTTTTTCTTCACATTAGCAGCCTATTACCAGACTGGAATAAGTATTAAGAGCCAAAAAATGCTCATTTTGCACACACACCAGCTTATGTCTGTAAATGTCCTCATACACCCATAGTCTGAAAAAGGTTTGGCTAGGTGTCACATATGGGGGATGATGAGAACTGAGGGGAGTAGGAACCCATCACACTTCAGTCTACTTGTGTGAGTGTGAGTGTGTGTGTGTGTGTGTGTGGTAATATCCAAAAAAGGCAATGGCTCGCCCAGTAGCTCTTTATGTTTATACCACAAAGATAGAAATATGTTCACACACACACACACACACACACACCCAGACACACACACAGACACTTAGAATTTAGGAAGATGCAAGCTATGAGACACAGAGGAGGAGAGGGGAGAAAAACCAATAGAGCATGACAACCCATCTTGTTTTCTAAAGGGATAGAAAGGTTACATTTCTTAACCTCACAGAAAATGGACATATTTGGTTCCCGGGTGTACCTATGCATTGCAACTGAAAAGCTCTACAAGCTCAGTGCAGTCACTATGTGTCTGCAACCATAGTGTGTTACTATGGGGCTAGGGAGTATGACATTATCTGAGCAAGCCTTTCCAGATGTTGAGCAGGGAGACATTAGCAGAAAGAAAGGCTTGGAGTGTGTGTAGTTGCCTTGATGTGTGTTGTGTGAGAAAGAGGAAGAGAGTGGGGGTGGGATGGGTATGCACTCCTGCATCCTCTTCTCTCATTTCTCCCCTGAAACAATGTCAGAAAAAAATGAACGCCATTTTCACAGAGTGGTAAACAGCCCTCATCAAACCGTCTAGTTCTTTCTGAGACCTCTAGTGAGCGTGTCTTCATAGGAAAATAAAGAAAATAACCAGAGAGACTTCCTCTGCCTCTTACCTGTTCATGGTACTCTATCCCCATGCTGAGAGTATTCACAAGGATGGCAATCATAATCCCTCGGTTGAAGTATTTACTTTCCACAATCCTCTTCAGTTTATCCCTAAAGTTGATCCAAGCTTGAACAGCTCCATTTCTGTACTCCGCTGCTCTTCGCCGTCTGAACCGACCCCTTCCTCCTCTGAGATCGCCCCCCTGGAGGTACAAGGTTCAGAAATTTAGCAATCACTCATGTTCCACAAAATAAAAATACTCATAAAGGGTCCTATTCCAAGGGCAACTGATATTAGGACTGAAGCGTTGATTTCCTTTAAACGAAATAATATAAAATAAAACATATCACTCCAACTTTATTTGAATTTTTACTGTCAAATCCGAGTACACATATTTCTGTATGGTAAGTCACCAACAACTCTGACCGGAGGAAAGTCGTGTAATCCGTCAGAGTCGCCGCCTTTGCCTCCCTCCAGGTCTCCTAGTTCCAGTTCCAGGGTCTCAAGGCTGCGGGCACACAGAGGGCAGCTGAGCAGCTCCAGAAGCAGAGGGCTGGGCACCACGCCCGCCAGCTGGAACAGCAGCCTTTGGCGACCTGGACACACAAATGGATTGAGATGGTCAGAAGTTAGCTGAGGGTCTCTTCCTGGCGGTTGTTTGGGTGTTGGTTCTTTGGGCTAGCAGAGCACAGCAAAAAAACATTTGTAAAATAGGTTTTTATCCCCTGAATTTTACACAATTTTTTTAACTCTTTGATGCTATCTGCTACATCTAGTTTGAACTCCCATATGAAGTTTGCTTTGCACAATTTTGACATCCTATAACAGTTTCACTAACTACATATAAAAACATTAGTGTAACTTAATAAAAGTGTCAGTTCCAATATATATTAAATGAGTGAAGTCATCACTATGTCAGGACATCAGGACAGATAAGTAGCACGGCATAACTCAGGAAAAATGTTTATCTAATTTGGAATGAAGGATTTTCCTTCTAAATGCATAGTGATGAGTAATTTATACTTGAAAAGTGATGGGAACACTTTTTCCCATCTTGATGTGTACCCATTTTGATGTGTGATTTCTTTCAAAATGGAGAAATTATCAGACAATGCCATATAATGACATGATTGGACAACTGTAGAGTAAGTGAAACTTGTAACAGGGAAAAAGAGTGGTGCTTTTTCTGTAAAATTTAGTTGGTGCACTAAGCGGTGCAGGCTATTCCATTGTCCAACATCTGGCTGCCGGCTTCTATCCTCTGTTCTCTGACTAAAGTCTTCTGAAATTGGTACAGAGGAAATACAAAGCACAGCTCAGCTTGCATAAGCAGCAGCCCTACAAAAGCAGCCTCAGTGGTGCATAACAATGTTCAAAATCTTATCTTATGCCTCAAAATACGAAAAAGTGTTAGGGTTAGTGGATTGTTATCTCATTTCATAGTCTTTTAGAGCCTTTTATATATCAGTGCTGTAAATATATTTTCCCATCTAGAGTCCAATTCATGCTGGTATGTTTACATTCTCACAATTTTTGTAGCTAATTCCATCAGAGCAAACACAACACTTGCTGGCCAAAACGCCACCATATATTACATTAGAGGAAATAGGCTTGATCAGATTACATTTTCTCTAAAATCCGATTTGAAAGCTACAGAATTAAGAGAAATATACCCAAGGATGTTAGTGTCCATAAGGTATAAAGAAGCTATTCTTTCAAAGCTGAGGTTTAGCAGGGACTGACTCAGGAGACAACGCTGAGAGAAAACAGTTTGAACACACCCAGAAATGTTCCAACGACTAAATGTATAACCTCAACACACGGTTCAGATGAGGTATGTTCCTATTAAGTGTTACACTTACTCTCCAAGGAATTCCAGACCCTAATAGTGTCTTTCCTGGTTATACTGTGTATTAGCTAACTTCAGCCTGGAACAAATCTTAATTTTATTGAATTTAGTTTGGTGTGTCAGCAGACAGCAGTTTGAATAAGGGCTTGTGTACAGAGTGTGTCGTTTTTGGTTGTTTCACCCCATCAGGACAGAACAAACATGTCTATTAAGTTGCTGCGTATTTGTCATTTCACAGCACCACGTTGTCTCCTGCTGTCTGTCCTCCATAATCTTCTTTCTCATTCTCCATCCTGAACTGACCTCCTTTATCCATCTCTTTTTTATATATTTTCTTCTCCTTGTTATTGATATACTTTATTCTTTTCTCTATGCTCCCTCTCTCTTAGCCTCTTCCCTCTGGATGCCATATTTTTAATACTTTATGCTGCTCCTTTGAACTCAATATTTTCTTCTTTCATCCTCTGTATTTTTCAGAATACCATTACGCACCTGTTTATGTTTACCGCGCTCTGCACTGCCTACTTTTTTCCTCCATCTGAATTCCCCCACACGCCGCTCTAATTCACGCAGTCCGGGCCCTTTGTCCACCCCTCTTGCTCTGATGACTGTAAGACTTCAGAGATTGATTTCCTGTCAGAAGTCTGAGTGCTACTCGAGAGACACGCAGCAATACGAAGCATACAGGAGGTTACTTTCACTCAAATTCGGGAAGCGGGCGCAGACAAGCACTAAAAGACGGAGCAATAGGAGCGAGTGCGGTGGAAAGACCACAATGGAGCCACAAATCTGAATCATCAAATTAAGTTAAAGTGTGTTCGGAAGCAGGTGCCCCTGTAATCATCCAGTAAGCCCTCTACCACCAGGTTCCAGCAGTCAAACTCCTTTGATCACATTTTCCTTTTCCCATATCAGTCCTCCTCTCTTTTCCCCTCCCATGGATCCACCTTATCCCGGCCCTCACCTCGTCAATGTTCGTAGTCATTCAATTCCCCTAATTCTTACCTCTATTTTGCTATTATTTTTAGAAATGTTCTGAGAAGTCTGGAGACATCTGAGGTCAATTACATTCTGCGAAGTTGTCCCCACTTTGAGACACCCCTTTCATAGAAACCAATCACAAGATGTCCCAGAGGAATCCATGAAAGGGACTTTCACATTCGTCCATACTTGTACTCCCAATTCTCTACTGTGCAACATAATGCTGTGACTCGTCCTTTCAATCCTAAACTGTTTAGCTCTGTTCCCTCAGTCAATTTAATCATATTTTTTTTAAATAAAACCCAATAAAAAAAATTCTAATACAAAATAAATGACTGTTTTTATTCGTATTTAAGGTTTTCACACTATATGGAGGAAATACCGTCTGAATATAAATCTTCTGAAATCTATTCATGTATTTATGAAGGTGCTTTTGTTCTCTTACTGTGCTGCCCCATCAGCTGGTAAAGCTTGTTGAGTGTCTCTGTGTGTTCAGAGGCCGGGTGGTTTGGCGGATGCTGCTCCGGACTCGGCCCGCACTGCTTTGAGTGGGGGGGGGGGCGTCTTACTGCTGTAGCTGCACACGAAGGACGGCAGGATGGTCGGATAGTTCATGCCCCCGTTCAGCCTCCCCAGCACGGCCCCCATGCCCTGAGTGACCGCTGGATTATCGCCGTTCGCGCTTCCTCTGCGAACGGGGAGCGACTTCATCTCCAGCTCCTCCCCTCCTCCGACACGTCCTTCTCTGTCCGCGTGCTGAGCGGTCACCACGCTGATGGTGTGCAGCCCGCCGTTGCTCAGGCGACAGTGCTGGTGCTGGTGGTGCTGGAGGAGGTTGTGGATTGGCCTCAGCCAGAGCGCGCTGCCCGGTCCCGAACCTCTGCTGGAACCCTGGCCATGCCCATTTCCACCACTGATGCTGCCCCCCCCGCTACCATTGGGGTTCACCTTTTTACGTCGTTTACTGTACAAACAAGGGGAAAAAAAACAATCAAGACCAGGTCAGGAAGCCGATAATTGTTTACAGCAAAGACTGTGATTCAAGCACATTTAGTGGGCATTCCAGTACCTGTGCCACCCGTAGTACACCCTCTGCAGCCTGCGAGTCAGCTTGCGGTAAAGGTGGCTGATGTAACGGAGCATCTCCTCATAACACGAGCCCGGTTCGCTGTAACTCGCAAGGGTGGAGTCATTGGACATGTAGCGAGCACGCTGCTCCCTCATCAGGGCGTTCTCCCTCTGCTTTGTCTCAGAGAATTGGGTGGCGATGACCACGAGGCACAAGTTGATCATGAAGAAAGAACCCACCTGTTTGGGAAGGTGGAGCACATCCACAGGGTGAGCATTATATTTAAGAATCTTTTCTTAAAAAGCTAATTAAAAAAGTAGAAACTTTAGACCTGACATGCCATGCAACTCAACGCACAAACTGCCAGAAGAAATCTTCAACCTTAATGTAAAATCAAGATGGCGCTTTCTAATTAATGACTGATTTAAAAAATAACGTATCCTTTTTTAATGTGTAAAGAGTCATAACAACGAACATAAGTTATCATTTGGTCAAATACTGTGATGTTAAAGTTGCCAAAGAAAGCTTTTTTTGTTAAAGTATTGCATAAATTTATGTTGACATGCATGTCACCAAATTCCAACACTGCATGCTACAGCATGGCATACAGTTAGCATTCCCCAGCTTCTGCTAATTTATCTTTAATTCCCAGTGTCTACATGAATATCTTTGTTGTTTGTTCCTTTGGTTCTTTTTGAAGACCTCTTTTGATCTCACCCCCATTTTGCTCTCACTCCCATTTCTCTTCTTTCTTTTCGATTGGCAGCTCTTTGTGGATGTCTTTCAAAACACCCTTAACTCAACCCACTTACCCATTCAGACTGTCTTTAATCCTGCCTCTGTCATTTTGTCTCAAAATCATTCAATTTTGATAGGCTCATCCTAAATGTTCTTCATCTTTGATCTTCCCAGTTCAGTTGCAGCTTCTTTAAATTAGATAACTCCAAATCTCCTTTTTGCCTCTTTGTCGGTGGCACCCTCAAACACCACTGCAAGGTCTCTGTACTCAGTACTCTGTTGTAGATGTCGCACTTCCCAGGCTCTACCAAACATGTAGCCGACTCTCATTTCAGTTTGCTATTTACGATCGCAGACACACAACCTGCCCATCATCATTGCAAAAAGAGCAGAACTCAAAGCCTCTCTTTTATCTGCAAGCCGCAAAATATTCACACTGGCCACATGTGTACCCAGCAACACTCACGTTTCTGCCACTTCCTCTTTCAGCTCTCTGCCTCAAAGTTGATCCAAATCCATAATACCCTTTTCAGCTCCCTCTGATCTCATTTATACCTCCACATCGCACTTTCAAAGCAAAACGTGCATCTCTGGGGCTTGAATGTATATGAATGATGTAAGTAATAACGAAATAAAGCCTTCAGACCAAATTCTTTATTTTCTTCTTTTTAAGTTGTAAACTAGTCATATTTAGTTGTTTTTTTTTGTAGATAATCCAATGCCATTTTTTTCTCATTAAACCTATCAGCTGTCGAATTCACTAACTAAATTAACTCAGTGACTTAATAAAAGAGATAAAATCAAAAGATGACTGTCACCTCAAAACTGAGCACCATAAGGACAGAGGTGTGTGGAATTCAGCTGTATCTGGGTCACTGTCAAAGACCATTGTGTATGCAGCACTGGGAAACAAATTATAGACCTGGAAATACCATTCAAATCAACTCAATTAAAATGTTCCGATGTAAGATATGACTGTGAACCGAACAAAAAAAGATAAAGGTGGTACTTACAATAATGAGCAGTATAAAATATATAAAATTGTAGAAGGAGTGAGCATCCATAACATAGTACATGATGTCTACCCATCCCTCCAATGTGATGACCTGGTAACAGCAACAAGCAAGCAAAGGGAGAGAGAGAGAGAAACAAAAGTAATTTTAGTTCAGATATGGTGGACATGACTTTTTATCACATGTGTAGGTAGACAACCGTGAATTCAGATGCCCTAAAAAATCCCTCCAGCCTTTTTTCAGTCTCTGTGTGCATATTTGGGGTCTGGCTAACCACTCTTCCGTGTGGCAATGTTGAGGAAAAGTGGAAGTGCTGAAACCCTAAGAACTTTAAATTGTACTCTCTAACCTCAATATTCATTAATTCAGATGAGGAAAATATCACATGAATGTACAGCCTCATTGTAAAGCAGCAGAGCTTTTTTAGAGCTACTTTCTGTTCGGCCATCTTGTAAACCTTTACAGTGTTCCTGTGGATGTTTCTTGTCTGACACTATGCATCTAAGCACAAAAAACATTGACTCAAAAACATTTTACTGGTGTCATTACCTTATGGTAACAATTGTTCTTTACTAAATGAATGAGTCAAGGTTGCAGCTTGGATAGGCTCCAGCCCCAGCGGGGAATAACCGATATAAAAAATGGTTGGACTGATAAAAAAAATAATTCCAGCACCATCACTGTTACATCCAGAGAAATTGTGCTATTATTGTATTTTCCTGTCTCAAGACTGTCTGAAAGGAGAGCAAGGAGATTGAAACTGCCTGCGAGTTCTCACTGACATCGGGACCAGCTGGTCTTTGAAGTGTCATGGGGGAATCTCGAAGCAGAGCAAAACGAGCTCAAGAATCCTCACGATTTATAATGTATGTCACACACATGGATAAGAAAAAAGTCACAGGGTGCTTTGATGCTGTCACAAGATATTTACTTGCAAAGATCTCCACGATGAAAAGCTGTGGGATGATGACATCACAGACTTCAATAAAAAAACAAACAGCAATGAAACTAAAATTAAAATCAGATTTAATTCTCAAGACTGATATTTAAGACAGTCCATTCGTCTTGTTGTTGGCAAGAGATCAGAAACAAGTCGTGCACTTGAATCTCACCAACTTGTGCGATTTCATCTCTTACATGTCAACAGAAACTCTAATATAAAAAACATATCCGATGACATGATGCAGCTAGCTCTCATATTTTGTTGGACACTAAATTAAATGCTTACAATGCAACAATCAGCAAAGGAATCAGCATGGAACTTTGTGGTGTACTGGGTGAATCATTTAACCTTATGACTTAATTAAGAGAAAAAAGCTTGCGTTAAAATTGGTTCTCATGTGACATCTTAAAACTATGTTGTGCTCATCAAGAGTCCTAAAGTAACCCTGGTAACAACCCATGATGTTCAGCTAACATTCAAAATAGCTCTTTGTAGCGTTTCATATGCATTTCCTTTTCCTGTAACATCGGTTGCGGTTAATAAATGCCCCTGGTACAATTTTGAACAGAAGTTAGCCTCATTACTCCACCTCATCTTGTACATTACGGAGTGCAACTGTGGCTTCTTAACACTGGCAAAGGAAACAAGGCCTGTGTAAAATCAGGAAACAAAATCCATAAGACAACCAGAGAATTCTGGCTGCACACGCTAAATAAGGAGCTGACATTAGATGTATGCACGCAAATCATCCAACTGGCAAAACTAATCTCATATAAGACCCAAAATGCTGTTTACCAAAACAACTCACCACCCCTGTCAACCAACAGAAGGAAAGAAAATGAAAGCAACAGCTAAATGAAAAGCCTAATGAATGACACAGAAAAGTTCCAAACAGGGATTAGTGTATGTGTGCTCAAAAATGTCATACTCATAGTCAGATTTACGAAGAGGGATGAAATTCATATCTAAAGCGTGCAGAAAGTCTTCACACACTAAGGAAGCCTAAGCTTTTTTAAGTTGATTTAGCTTCCTAATCCAAAAAGAAGAAGCACCTGTGTCACTCCTCACCTGGAATATGGCTATCCAAGCGTAGCCAATGTTGTCAAAGTTGACAGCTCCCTTGTGGGGGTTGAACTCCCCCGGATGGCAGACGTTGTAGTACTGGTTCCAGTTAACACAGCCGTTAACGCTGGCAGCACCCGCCGCAGGGAGTGAGCCAATGAGAGCGGAGCTCTGGGGTGGCGCAGCCAATAGGCAGTCCACGCCATCCTCGGAGGAGGGCGGCACTTCATGGCAGCGCCGCATCCCGTTCTCACGAGGAGCCGAGCAGATGAACGGGGTGTCTTCACCTTCCTCACTCAGGTAGTAGGGATTTATGGAAAGATTGTAAATTCTGGAGGAGGGGAAAAATATTATTTAGTACTGAATACATTGCAACATTACACAGATTATAGAGACTTTCAGATGCAATGCTTTCTTATTGGCATACTTGTCTCAACTGCAGATTGTAATGACTGAAATAGTTTGGACAAATTAATGAGTCACGCAGATTTTATTATAGGATATCATTATAATCAGGTAGGGATAGGCGATTTGTTGTATAAAGGTTTTAAAAAACTGTTGTCAATTGCACACTTCATTTCACTACACTTTCATTAAACTTCAAGTTCAATGTGAAATACCACACTGAGACTTAAATTACATATAAAAAAATGTGTGTGAGGACGTGTCTCTAAGTTAGTGTGGCTCACCCCTCAGTTTATACTTGACTGTAGCTATTCTGGAAAATGAAGGTATAAAGGCCTATTTGAAAAATATTTCATGGATGAATTCCCCCACTGCTTTCTTAGAGAACCTCCTGATCATTTTGGAAATGTTATATAACTCTATGCTATTTTCATATAAGCGTTTGGAAGACAAGAGACTGTGCAGGCTAAATTGTAAACTGTCACAGAAGTCATAGCAACAAAAAAAAAGGACCGGGGTAATAAAGTAACAATAGGCAACAAGAAATGGTCGTGGACAAGAAAGAACTTCGTCTTGTGCTCATATTCTCCAGCCATTTTTTAATCTTATCTGCTGTAAAATAACCTTTAGCATGACATACAGTATTGTACGATACTTACGTTGTTTGTCTGAATTTTAAAGAACTGCAATAAAGTAAAGTAGTTCATAGATACATACATTCAATACATTAATATAATAATCATGTCTCTCTAAATAGAAGATTATACCACCTTTCACTAATCACTGTCACCCTGTCATGCGTGAAACTCATAAACGCCCTTTTGAGTTCAAATTAATATTATACAATTAATTAATTAAGTATTTGACTGCCAGATATACTGTATGTTACTTTGCCCGACTTAAAATCTGAGTAATCGAAGCAACTGGAACTGGTGTCACATTTATGTAACACCATTAACCTTTCTTTTTTACTCCAAGAGTCCAACCGGCCTCTGACAGAAAAGAAGAGCCTTATTTCTTACATCTAATTAACTGTTGAGTCGTTTTTCATTTGTTGTGGCGGCTGATCGTAAACGGGCTCTGCCTTGTATTCCAAAGAAAAACGTTATTGATCTTTACTGGGTTAAAAATCATGACACCGTTCACTTATCAAAACCGATTATTGGTCATTTCCTATATCAGACACAGTCAGCTGTTAAACGCTCTTAAGATAATTGCCACAGTTCACCCACTTATCTATTTTCTAACCTTTTGCATTGGAGAGCTCTTATCGCTATCACTGCTTAGGTATGACTTTCACTCTTGAGGGGAAGGACCAGTTTTAAATTCATATAGTGACCGGTTGTCTTGAGGAGTTCAAACAAATCTGGCATCGTTTTTTTTGTTCATGTTGCTGCTCTGCCTGTTGCTGTCCCAGTTTATGTCCTGACTTCTGGCACTGCAGAGTGCGTTTACCTGACTCTTGTCTGCCTGTTGAGTAACGAGGAAGAAAGAAAAATAAACTCTTTGAATAGAATTTATTTGTGCAAGGTAGGACACGTTTACTTCCTGCTGATTTGAAAAAAAAAATAACAGGGGAAACATCTAATTATGAGAATGTGGCCATGTGTGTCATCTCAGACAGCGGGGTTACATATTGGTCGGGAAGTCAGACAACCATTTGTTCTGTGAAAGGAAACAGAGCAGCCTTCTGTTCCTCCTTACACACAAAAAAAGATTAATCCACTTTAACTCTGGTACAATTTGTACCATTACATCAAAGGCAGAATTTGTTCAAGGATCTGGAAGTGACATTATTGGCGCCCTGATGTTGCAAACACAGAGGATTGTTTTATTTTTTTCAAGTTCTCTGTCCATTGCTAAAATTGGGAACTGAATATTTCTCTGAATTAATGCTTGTATGTCTGGATCTGTGTGTGAGTGTATTTGCCAGATAGAGGGGGAATGTATGTCTGCTGCTTTTACATCTGATGTTACTACAACATAAAACAAAAAAAAGTTAAAAAAGAGTGGGTATTGTGTTCTGTTTTCACAACATAAGCAGCATGTATGTCTTGGGATCTAGTGTACACGCTCATAGTCTGTATCTTTTTTTCAGCTTCAAGTAATTGTAGATGGTTTGATTTGGAGTTTTCAGTTTCAAGCATGATGGTTTAGCATGATGGTTTAAGTCAAATAGGGTTTAAAATCTGCTAGCCCTATAAATATAATGGGATATTCTGATTTGTTTTCATATTGAGCAACCTGTCTGCTGTGGGCCAGTTAGGTACATGTCAATTACAGACATTAATTTGAATAGGAGTTAGTTTTATCAGAGCAAACTGGACCAACATCAGTGTGACCTTCAAATCTGCCCTAACTACAGGTGTATCTGCAATGTAGAATTCATTTTTTCATTATTGTATGTCATTTATTATCAGGAAAAAAAATAGAATCATAAACTTGCCAATGAGCTTATTCTTGGGTCTGTGTGATTACCAAACAACTGGTGGTTCTATTAAATCCTAAAAGCTTCAGAAAAGCCCAATGGACTTCTTCTTGAATCGTCCCAGAAGTTCCTAGCAGTCCAGTGTCCTCACTCAAGCTTTTTGGATTACCATGATGGATGACTGAGAATCTATACAAGCTAATTCTTCCAGAGTTCTAATTAGGGAAACTGCTCTCTTTAACAGAGTTCTCAGCTTTTTGAACATCCCTCTTTATAATTGGATGCTGTTTTTAAGAGAGACTTAGTCACTTAATTTGCGGTGACCAAAACTGACATCAAAGACCTGACCTGTTCTGATTTATAGGTTTATCGTGACACATATTATATAACACAGCTCCGTTTAAATGTTCCAGTCCCCATCTCTTTAGTTTTAGTTTCTACTTCTCATGGCCACACAGCAGTTACATCCTAAGGGCACTGTCTAGTCAGCAACAGTCACCAACAAGCTACAGTTTCTGCATATTACGTATCATTATTCGCAATGACAGCACAAATTATGACATGACAAAAAAATTATGAAATGAAAAGGCCCAGTGGAGCAGGGAGAGCAAATATGGAAATCGGATGAATGTGAACATCTCAAAGAAACTGAAAATGAAGAGAGTATAAATGCGCTGCGCAAAGATGTGAAAATGGAGTATGTAACCTGCAGATACTTTAGAAAGATCAATAACACATCTTTCTAAATATTTAATCCAGAATCGATAGTAATAACAACTTCCAGTATCTATCCTACATACTTATAGCCTAAAAAGACATGAGGCTGTCTAAGTTTTGAAGCACTTACGTTCTTATGTCCTCTCTCAGGAAGCAGCGGTTCCGCAGCAGTCCCGCCCACAGCTGGACTCCCACGATGCCAAAGATGAAAAAGACAAAGAAGCAGAGGAGTAGGACGTTTCCCAGCATGGGCAAGGTGTCCAAGAGCAGCGTCACCAAGATCCTCATACCTACACAGTGGGACACGAAAGGGAAGCCACCATGAGAAATTTACAACTGAGACTATCACAGAGACCGTGCACAAGTTCAAGCTACAGCTAGTCTTTTCCAAGCCCTCCGGTCACTCCAAACCCTGAGAAAATATTGATTTTGTAAGCCCTTTAATTCCATCCTCACAGCCAATATAATACAAGTGATGACAATACTCAAAATGACAGTTTGACATTATGTCACCCCTTAGGACCTGAACACACAGCTTCCTCATGGCTAATATTATCTAACCACGTGCATTCGGCGTCTATCTCCAGATGTCAGATGTGCTCAGCGTCAGGAGACTTGCGGATCCAGTCCCTGGGGTCGAAACAATGTGTTCTGTCCTCTTTCACTTAAACCACAGCCTTGTCACATTGATCACATTTACAGTGCGTTAACAACTTTGCAGGGTTTCGCCACAGTGTTACAGCTAATGTCTTCAACTGCAGAGATGCCTCTTAAGTTCAGGCTCTCTGTGCAGTGCTACTGGAGGAGAAAAAGCCTGCCTGAATCCATTATCGTGAGGTTACCTGGGAAACCAAAACAAACCATGTGTCTATAAGCTTTACCGTTATAAGGGCAGAGGAAAACAGCAGCTACTCTCATCAGCGATCTTCATAAATGTGTACGATAAAGGTGAGGTACCATTCAGAAAAGTCAGAGACTATTTTCACTCAACTGCTCACAAAGTTTCTATTGAGAAAAACTAGTAAAGAATTATTTCATTTCTGAAAACTACTTAATGCATTACGCCATACATTATGGTTTGCAGGATAATGTTTTGCTGGCTCTCCGTTCTGTTTACGCCCTGTTATTTAAAGCCAGTTTTAATGTCCAAGTGTGAGTGACTCACGATTTTCTATAGTCTATGGAAGAGTCAATAAAAACTTTATTCGCTAACCTTTTCTTTAAAATTGGAAATGGTAATGTTGGCATGCAGACTGTGAGTCATCACCTTTCTTTGATTTCAGCTCTGGTTTGACTGAGCATTTGTCCAGGCCACTCTTTACACGGCAGCACCACCCTTTATCAGTTCATCCACTTTGCAGGATGGAGGTATGAAGCAACCTTTTGTCTTTCCAAACTAACTGACCATTTACCGTCCAACCATACGGAGCACAGGTTGTTTCTGATGCGATGATTTTTCAATCTCTTTTCCCTTTTTTTATTTGTTAAGGCATGCAGGCTCACACACCTTAGGACAGTCAGGCATGCAGGATTAAAACATCAACTTGAAAACTTCTGTTTGAAGTTCTGGATATGAAATTGTACAAAAAATGACCGTGTCAAGAGGCACTGCAGGTGGTAACAGTGTGCCCTACTGTTAAGGTTAAGGTGCAATTAAGAATTATCACAAACAACAACACCAACACAAAGCAGAAAAAAAAAACATAAATTCATCCCATGACAACAACATCCTCAGTGCAATCTTTAATCCTCAACACCATTTTTGGAAAGTATACCACCTGAATCTCATTCTTTAGAGTAAAACAGAATGCACTGCAAAATATTGTAACATCGAAAATTAAATTGAAAGTGCACTTACTGAAAAAAGCTGTGCTCTGTTGACATTAGTTTAATTAGAATAATGCAATCGAATAGTGCACAGGTGGCACTGCTGACCAGAGGTTTTAAGAGAGAAATACCCTGTCAGACCTGATAAGTTTCCTTTGAGCTTAAAACCTCTGAGAACATAAAATAAAAAAGAGGACAACTACAATTCAATTTGCAATATCTAATAAGTAAAAGAGGACGATTTGATGTTCCAGAGAGGACATAAAAGAAGATAATTTAAGTTGAACTCTCTCAAAACCGCGTTGTTTTAAGGATGTCATACTTATTGTCCACTGTCATGATCCTTTAATTTCCCGATATAAGGGCAGTGATTTTGTTGCAAAACCTATCTTAAGTAAAAACAAGTGTGTTTTCCCATTTGATAATCTGTGCTCCTCACTGCTTATATATGAAGCCATCACATCAGTGAATTTTTTTAATCTTTCTCTAGGCGTTAATTAAATCCCTAAAGAATTTGAAAAAGAAAAAAAAAACTTTGAAGAAGCACTATGAGGCTTCTCTTTTGCTTATATGAGGCACATGTGATACCAGAAAAATATTTCTTTGCAAACTAAGCAAATGGAAATTTGGGGGCTGAATTGATTTATGAAGAAATTTCATAAAATGGGAGTATTCGCATTAGTAGTTAAGACCCCAGAAATCGCTTATTAAAGCTTCTATTCAGAGCAATGACGAGCTGCCAGCTTATCAGCTTCAGTTACTGACGGCTGCTTTCCTCACTGCGTTTTTACCCATTTTGATCAAGGCCATTTCATAGTAGCCGCCCCCCCCCCCACCCAACACACACAGTTGTGCAGCAGAGGAAAAACACACTCCTTCCAACCCATGACTTCCATCGAACACACACAGTCGGGCTTTGTGCATTGTGGAGAGGTCCTCAAAGACACATCAGGATCTTATAGAGTTCACCAGGGCATGGACACAGCAGATAAGGGGTTGAGGAAGTGTCTATAAACAGTTGCATATCAATTGTTAGTAAAACCTGAACATTGAAACAAAAGAAACACTACAAGTGGAAATGGAAAATAGTGGAAAATGTAGCATTTGTTCACAGAGACAGAAACAGTCCATGTAGA